GTAATGTTCTCTTTGCTTTCTCACAAGCAGTTCTCTATCTTCTGAGTGCACGGTTGTTACCAGAAATGTCTTTTCTCTCTTGAACTCATTTACAAAATGATTGACCATTCTGTTGTCAAAGTCTTCGCCTCCAAGGTGATTATCTCCGGCTTTGGAGAAAAATTCAAACAATGAACCTTCGTCTATCGAAAGAATTGAAACGTCGAATGTTCCTTCTCCGAAATCAAATATTAACACGTTTTTCTCGCCTGATAAATTTTTGTCCGGACCGTAAGATAAAGCAGCAGCTGTTGGCTCGTTTATTATTTGCAGTACATTAAGTCCTGCAATAAAAGCAGCATCCTTTGTGGCTAGTCTTTGAGAATCATTAAAGTATGCAGGTACTGTGATGACGGCATCTGTAACTTTCTTTCCAAGATAAGTTTCAGCGGTTTCTTTCATTTTAACTAATACCATTGAACTTATTTCCTCTGGGGTAAATGTTTTGTTTCTCCTTTGTGCTCCGCTTGTAGTTTTGGCTTGCATCAACTATTGATGACTTTGAATGGCCAATGTTTCATGTCTGACTGAACTGTGAAATCACTAAAATTTCTGCCGAACAGTCTCTTGTCATCGAAAATTGTATTTGTAGCGTTCATTGCGACTTGATTTTTAGCTGCATCATCAACCAGTTTTTCAATGTCCGTGAAATCCACACAACTTGGAGTTGTTCTGTTCCCCTGGTCGTTGGCAATTATGTCTACTTTTCCATGCTGGAAAACACCAACATAAGAGTAAGTTGTTCCAAGATCAATTCCAATTGCTGGACCTTTTCCTGCGATATCAAGTTATTTCGTCTATTTTATTACTGAATCCTCTCTGTACAGTATCGTCTTTTATATACTCTAAACCGAAGGTATCTGATCATTCAAGAAAGTTTAAATTTAGTCTAAAATATAAATACAATACAGATACTGCTGATCTTAGATATTCTTAAATGTTGTCGAAAGATCAACTTTAAAGTTTTTTTTACACAACACCATGTTCTTTAGGAATACTTGTATAAAGTTCAAGAATTTACGTAAAAGGATTTGATTTGTCTGTTTCCGACTTGCAGTTTGTAATTATTACCTATTTTTCACCATCAGTCGCAGACAAATCCTTTTTTTTTTAGCAGGGGAGGGATCGTCTTTTTTAAATAATCCGTTTGATTCTTAATTTCTCAAATAAAATTGTTTCTTTCAGAAAGTTGTGAAAAATATAGTTTGCTTCGATTGAAAATTTATGTTTTTAAAGTGAATATTAGATGTGATTCTAACGTGAATAAGTTCTGCTCTGTCTGTGGTAGTATGTTCAACGCACGTGCACAAGCAGTAAGTAGTATATGCGGATATTTAACGTTTTATTACTTGTAAATGTTTTTCTACGCATATTAAAGAGCTGATTAGTCCCTGAAGTTAGAAAGTTCAGCAGTGGAAACTAAAACAAACATAGGCGTTAATGTTCGATGTTTATGATTATTCGGATCATTTTGAGATATTGTTCAAAAGTCTTTTTCAAGGGACTTGGTCTTCATCAAACTTTCACTTTAAAAACCCATAAATTTCTATAAGTATATATTTACTATCCTTAAATACTCAATATTCGTTCCATATTATTGGATGTTATCATACTTCAGTAAGATTAATGACCCAGACTATCGTTCTTAAATCAATGTTCTAATTTTAAACATTTTCTCACAGGAAAAACCGCGAACTTTCGTTTTAATTCTGAAAAGAAGTACGTAAAAGAAGAGAGTCGGTTATAAAAACGTTTCAGTATTTGGTATGTCAAATGATATATATGTTATTTTCACGTTTACATGCTTTTAAACAATGAATAGTTGCATGATGTTTCGTTCCAAATGTACACGTTATTAATGGGTCATTATACTTGCCAAATTCATGTCCATTCAATATTGACTCAAAATCTCATATTTGATTTATAATATTCTTAAAGGTATATCAGAATTACAAAAGATTCATAAAAATAATAAACAATACATGGAATCGTGATAAATTATCGACATTTTTTTGGACTGTACTCCATCTAATTAACCATTGACCAATAGGCGACTTTCACGATCCCACACTCTTTAGATAAGACTATTTATAGAATCTTCTTATTTATCGATAATGAGGCTGAGGGTGTATCGATCGCTTCCGGCTGCACTGAAAACAATGGCATCAAACGTAAACAAAACGCTGAACTATTCTCTCGATAAATTATGGGCCATGACTTGTTTGAAATTGCGAGAAATTTTAAAGAAAGTAAACAAAATGTTACAGGCAACAAGCAAATATTAGTAGCCCGATGTTATGTATTAAATCCCGTTATTGACGAAAGAAAAGATGCTACTTCCAGCTCTGGAATCAGTGACGAAAGTGTGAATGAAAACACCGACGGTGCCACTGCTTTAGACCCATTTTTTCAGTAAGAAACATTAAAGAAAATTGGTTTTAATGAACTAAATTTGACAGCAAAAAGTAGACAGTGGGAAACAGACTTAAGAATGTTTCCTCCCCTTAACTTTCAAAATGAAATCGTATCAATTTTTTAAAGAAGGACATATTAAAACTTATGAAATTGCTCGCGGATTCGGAAAAGTATGGATAAAATCCAAAGTTGTGGCATCAATGAAACATGAGATGTACAGAATTATTGTGGTCTGCAAAGATGTTGGTGATGTTTTATATGGAGCATGTGAATGTCCTGCAGGGTATGTTTAATAGACATAATTAAATAAGACTCCACTCAAATGCCTTTTTTCTGAACAATTTCTGTTTTCAACAAGTGTAAACATTGTGACTGTAAAGGTACATGTAAAGTGTGTTTTTACTTTGCATCTAGGTACAGTACTACATTTTTGCTGTACCTATTTTTTTTCACTGGCATTATACATGTATTTAAACTTACAGGAATACTCTTTGTTTAGATCTTTTGTCGGAAAATATAATAGATAAGCTTGTTAAAGGAGGTCTTGTAAATAAGGGAACAACAATTTCACTTTAAAAAAAGGAGGGTTCATTCTGATTTTTTTCTTATGTACCACACACACATCAAATACTCAGTAATTAATTTCTTTTTGTGCAAAACTTGTTAAGAAAATAATTCAATATATTATTTTAAATTCAATGTCAATGGCAAATTTTCTTCTCCCTGATAAAATGTTTTCTTCAAAGTTAGGAATGGTAATATAAAAAAAGATAAATCTGCTCCCCCTTCAGAGTTAAATTGCTGTCCCCTTAATATGGTCCAGATGAGTAGTTGTTTTGCTTCTGGTGAACATGTTTAATTTCTTGCAAGTAACAAGAAAATCATTCAAACATATTTTTGCACATAGTACTGCTTATCTACATGATCTACATTTGTAGATTCAAACTCAACCTAAAAATTCCTGAAATATTGTCCACTGGATGCAATTAAACAATCCAAAATACGACTAAAGAGTGTGCATTCTTCATAAATATGTACTTCATAAATATGTATATACACTCATTGTAGATATCTACAATTAATAACTATACATCTTGTAAGTATCGGTTGCAGATCCAAAGTTTTCTACCCTGATTGGACATGTTCAATACATTTAAAAAAATAACATGAAAAAAAAAAATATAATGAAAAAAGTGCTACAGTATTCCATCAACATGTACATGTATATATGTATGCTTTTGTATAAAAATTTATACCAGACATCAGTGAACATATACCTTTTTTTCCCACAAGACATGTATTAATGTTTCTTATTTGTATTGTTTCAGGCTAGGTATAAAAGGAGCAGGAAAATGCAACCATTTAGGAGGTTTGCTTTTTGCATTGAATGACTTTCATGAAAAAGGATTACACCAAAGAACTGAGAGGGTATCCTGTACATCAAAACTAAATGGATGAATTGTACCAAGAAATTCAACTGTGAAACAAAAGCCTCTGAAAGAAATAAAAGTTAAAAAGGTTCAATTTGGTAAACCGACATCAGAAAGACAAACTGTGAACCTTTATGACCCACGAGCACCACAGGACCGCACTCTTTACAAATTTGCTTTAAGTAAACTTTACAGTGACTCGAAGAACATGCTCCAAACTCATAATTTTTCTTATACCATGATCCTCCTGCGTGTCATGATGAACCTGACTATTTTGACCATATTGAGAGTGTTGATGACAAAATTGAAGTAGATGAGAACTTCATTGATAAATTTGTGACATCTGTTATTGAAAATGAAAAAATTAGTGATGATGAAATTAAACATACAGAAAAAATTACCCCAGGTCAATCTGAAAATATCTTTTGGAAAAAACTACATCAATTCGAAGCAACTACTTCAAACTTTGGTCGCATTATTAAATGTTCAAAAAATCCAGATCGGTTGTTAATAACTATGTTTTATAGTGAACCTTACAGTTTGGCATTAACATATGGAAAAGAAAATTAGACTTTTGCCACAGAAGCCTATACATACTATATATAAAGTCTCAAGGTATAGATAGGTACTATTCTATGCAAGGACAGACCTGGATTTGGGGCTAGTTTAGAGGGCATGGTATGTGATCCTTCTAGTGACGTACAAAATGGAGGTCTTGAAGTGAAGTGTCCAATCAGTAAAGTTAACATGAGTTTAGATGATGTATGTTCAGAGACTTCTTTTTATTCGACCAAATCTCAGAATGGAACTGTTACTTTGAAAAAAAAGCTAATTACTCTTATCAAGTTCAAGGTCAGATGTATGTCGCTAATTTGAAATGGGTAGACTTTGTTGTGTGGTTTGGATCAGAAAGAGAGCTGTTTGTACAGCGCATTAATTTTGATTCAGAAACGTGGTTTCAGGATTGTTTACCAAAACTTGACTTATTCTACCAGTGGGCAGTAGTTTCTGAGCTTTAAACAAGAAGAGTAAAGCGCAAACTTCGACTGATAAGTCAAACGAGATGGAAAACATTAAAAATGAATTGTCAATTGATATGAATAGTTAACATTACATTTGTATACAAGGTCTTTATATTTATATTTGGTACAAGTACATGTACATGTACATGATGAATGAAAAATCTAAGTACAGGATACATGTCTTAAGGGGGAACAAGCAATCCTTTAAATGAACCAGACATACATATACATCCATCATCAATATCACTGTCAGATTTTGGCGGAACAAGTGGCGGTAAAACCCTGTTAAAAATGACACAACTCTAAAAATCTGACTTGCAACATTGCTTAAACTTAATTCGGCCAATCGCCCTCTCTACATGGATTCGCACAGAAGTTATGCTAATTGTATCTTCAACATTTTGAGCAGATAATTGTTTGTTAGTCCCTTTAAATGGTGGAATGTTTAAAGTAACACCTTCAGGCAGAATGTCAGTAATCTCAAATCCTCTGTCTGCCATAACATTGTCTCCTGGCTGAAGTAAATCAAGTAAGCCACTATGTTTAGTGATTTCTTTGTCGGAAACTCTTCCACCCCAAAATTCAGAAACAAAGGTAACATTACCAGTTGGACTAACGCCCACTAAAACTTTATAAGTATTATGGTGTTTATAGGTAGACCATGTCTGTGATTGTGCAAGCATTGAAGAAGGAATTTCCACAAACACTTCCGTACAGTCTATGATAATCCTAGTAGTAGGGTACAAGTTTAATGATTTTGGCATTGTATTTAACACTTTTCTTGACTAGGGAATGGGAATATCAAGGGCAATTCAACGTTCAAAAAATTTATCCAAGTTATGAAAATTTTGGAAAAATGACTTTGTGAAATTTCAAATCGTTCAGCAAGGTCTCTAACAAATAATCCTACTTTAAGACGAATGAGCGTCATAAAAAATTCATCTCGTAGAGTCAGTTTTCTTCTTGGACCAAGTCGCCCACCTTTGTTTGATAATGTTTATAATCATCAATTGTGTCATTTTATCCTCTCCAATACTTGATGCCTTAGATTCCAGATATTCAAAACAGGCCATAAATGTTCCATAGTTTGGAAAACCAGTATAGAATGCAATTGCATCATTGTCATGTTTTAGTTTGTCCAAACTGAATCTTTTTTTTCTCAAAGTATTCCAGTTGCTCTTGCAAATCAAAAATATTTTTAGATGCAATTTTTCATTAAGAGACTCAATTTTTGTTTTAAATAGTTCAATTGTTTCTTGAATGTCTAGATTAGTCAAATTTTTCTCCAACATTTTCATTGTGAAGCTATAGTTGTGTTTAGCATGAGGGGCTATAAAATCATTTTGATCATCCAACCATTCTGTCTGTGTGGCTTTTGTTTTCAAGTTTTCATCAACATTCATTGAATCAAGCTGAAAAATGAAAAAAACAATTTACAGGCTCTGTGAACATAATAAGTGGATTGGTCCCCCCCCCCCCCCCAAAAAAAAAAATTGCAAGTTTAATTCATGTCATATTTGTAGAATTATTTGTAATGTATGCAGCATTTCCTGACAAAAAAAATCAATCATTATTTACTTGTACAGATCATAAAAAGTTAGTATTTACTTACTTCCTTACAGAAACTTACCAAGTACAACTAACTAGTTATTTCTTGTAAACATTTATCATTTCTGTGTACTTTATCTATTCTGTATCATGTTGATGTTCATTATCTAATTATAAATAAAAAAGATGTGATGTGAGTGCCAATGAGACAACTCTCCATCCAAGTCACAATGTCTTTAAAGTTTTTTTTGTAACATATTATTATATAGGTTAAAATACAGCCTTCAACCCGGAGCCTTGGCTCACACCGTACATGTATATTTCATCTTCTTATATGACAGACACTACTATCTAAATTATATTTAAAGTTGTTAAAGTATAACTTGAAAAAAGAAAGGCTTAAAATTGTGATCATTACCTCATTGTCTTGGATTGGCTCACATCAGTAAAGGGTTTCAGATTGTACTTCATGATCATATCCAGAATCTGTACTAGTTGGTGTCATCACTTCATAGGGTAATCTTTTTCTTGGAGATTTTCTCTTAAACTTTAAATTAGCCCAATCAAACACTGTTGGCTCCACATCAGGCTTCAAAGACCATCTCTTTCTTGCAAGTGAGATAGTGATATCTTCACTTCTGAAGTGATTTTCACAAATAACAGTGTTACTATTTAATGAAAAACCATCTCGTCCATCATGCCTCTTGATAAGACTACACCACCGGTCTCTTTTATGCTTGTCAGAAAGAACAGCTTTTGGAAAATGGAACAAATGAATTTCTGATGCCACACCATTTTGCAGAAAAGCAAAACTAAAACATCCATTAACATGAAACTGCTTTTCCCTTGATCTTTTAGTGACTCATGTAGCCATGTTTAATCTACAATAAAAATGTTTTTCTCCTAAAATGTTATAGACAATGTGCATTTATTTCACATTTTTCCTTTATTATATCAACTGCAAGTGCTCTTTTAAACTATAAAATATTAAGTATATCAAATATCCTTAGTTTTATCAGCAAGTAAGTTAGGTCAGTAGGAAAAAACATCATGTACATGATGACTTGAGATGATACACCCCCCTTTTTTACTTAGTGCCAAATAAACAGTTTATGCACAAAATGTAAGTAGTCAAATATGAAAGACAAGTATTTCACACATATTCATACTTTAAAATCATGATTTATTTTCATTATGTTGTCAAATCTGACCGTATTTGAATTTCTTTCTTTTTACAAACACACGTTGTTGTACTGCCGAAATGTAAACAAATGAATGCATGAACGATTTTTCATTCACCGTGTTGATATTTTAGTTATTTCCAATAAATAAACCTACCAGATAATGCTGCAAGTAACTAAAGTCGTTGAAAAATTATGTTATCTTCTTGTTAAACAGTAGAAATGCAGTATTTAGTATCGTTGTAGTTGTTTTTACACACTAAGCCTCGATTTCGACAAACTTCCGGGTGATTATAAACCTCGGAGCAATCCGAAGTAACCACGGTGCGAAAGGGGTCTATTAGTATAAACATATTTTATTAATTAAATTCAGGTTAAGTAATGTACACAAATTGGCATTTAAATATTAATACAAGTGAATAATTAATAGGATCCAGAAACAAGCTGTTAGCTTATATTAATCCGTTTCCTAATTCAAATAAGAACATTTCATATTGTAATACTCAAGGAGTAGAATTACTTACTTACTTATAGTTACTTATAGTTGATTTCCAGTACAGGACCCCTCAAGGTTCCTCTTCACCAGACTCATAATTTAATGTTTTTCTATTAGTATTTTGTCCGTGACTTCCGGATATTTCTGCTCTGTAGTCATTATAGTATATCTCTTCGTCTGACCAAAATTTGTCTAATCGGTTTTTAAATGCATTTGTTGATGGTGACTTTGTTATTTTATCTGGTAATTTGTTCCAGGTTTTAGCAATTCTAACAGAGAAAGAGTGTTTACGGATATTTGTTTTGAATCTTTGATGAATGACTTTATTACTGTTGGTCCTGCTACTGAATCTTTGTTGAGAATCATCTGCCGTTCTTAAAAATGAGCTTACTTCTTTGTCATAGTATCCATTCATTGTTTTGAAGGTTTCAATCATATCCCCTCTTATTCTCCTATACGATAATGTTGGTAAGCCTAGTTTTTTAAGTCGCTCTGGGTAGCTCATGTCTTTGAGACCTGGTAATTGTTTTGTTACCCTTCTTTGGACACCTTCTATTTTGTCGATATCTTTTTTCCTGTATGGGGACCAGACTGAGCTGGCATAATCTAGGTGGGTTCTAACCATGGTTTTGTACAATGGCATGAATGTCTCAATTCCCAAGTACTTAAATGTTCTTCTAAGAACTGCAAATATAGAGTTGGCCTTGTTCACTTTTTCACTTATGTGATTTTCAAAGGTGAGTTCTGAGTCAATAAGGACTCCTATATCTTTTTCCTCTGTAACTTGTGCTATTGGATGGTTTAGAAGACTATAATTTGATGGTTGGTCAGTGCTATTAGATTTCTTACATATTTTCATATATTTACATTTTTCCGGGTGAAATTTGAGTAGCCATTTGTCACTCCAGGATTCCATCTTGTTAAGGTCTTCTTGTAGAATTTGTCTGTCTTTCTGGGTTTTTATTATTCTAAAGATCTTGGTATCATCCGCAAATAGGTATGCATCAGAATCCACTTGGTCTGGAAGATCATTTATATATAGAACAAATAGTAATGGTCCTAGTACTGATCCTTGGGGTATCCCAGATGTAACGTTAGCCCAGTCTGATTCTTCACCATTCACTATGACCTTTTGTTTCCTATCTTTTAAGAAGCTTGTTATCCACCCTACTATATCTTCACTGACACCTAGATTTTTGATTTTGGCTATTAATCTTTTATGAGGTACCTTATCAAAGGCCTTCATAAAATCAGTATATATGCAATCTATGTCTAAACCTTGATCTAATGCCTCTGTCCACTTATCAATCACTTCTAATAATTGAAGACCAGTTGACCTCCCTGCAATAAATCCGTATTGCTTTTTAGAGAATAAGTTGTTCTTTTTCATATGCTCTATAATAAATTCACGCAATATCTTCTCCATTATTTTGCATACTACAGATGTCAAACTGACTGGTCTATAATTTTTGGCTAGTGACTTATTACCCTTTTTAAATATAGCACTTATCATAGCATTTTTCCAATCGTTAGGTACTGTCTTACTTTCAAGTGATTGATTATATATTATACATAAAGGATTTGCCAATGATTCAGCGATCTCTTTTAGCAGCCTAGGGTGTAGTTTGTCCATACCTGGAGATTTATCTATTTTCAATGCATTTAAGTGTTTCAGCACTACTTCTTCCTTTATTTTCTGATTTGACATTACATTAGTTACTAATACCGGCGTTGGTGATGGCACTACTCCGTCAGGTTCCTTGGTGAATACGCTGGAAAAGTATTCTACTAGTAATTTGGCCTTCTTGCTATTATCCTCCGTTTTATCTGATTTTGTGTCTTCTGGATCCAGGTGTAAATCCCCAATTCCTTCTTTGGTTTTAGTTTTTGACTTGATATAACTCCAGATAGCTTTTGGGTTTTCTTTAGCTTTTTCAGACAGATTTTTCTCATATTCCCTCTTCAACTTATTTACTCTACTTTTTACTTGATTCCTTATCTTATTGTATTCTTTCCTCACATCCGGGTCGTTATTATGCGTTATCTTTTTTGAGAGGATGTTTTTCCTTTTAATTTTATCTATGGTGTTTTTATCCATTGGAAAATTGTTTTTCCCTCTACCGATTTGTTTCCTTTCTTTTGTTGGTATATATTTTTTGTCCATATCTTGAATTATACTTAAAACTGATCTCCAATTTTTCGTTTATATCATTTTCTTTCTGTAGTAATTCTGACCATTTAATGTTATCTAGTTCTTCTTTTATTTTTATGTAGTTTCCTCTATTAAATAATTTAATTATTTTTGGTTTACTTTTAATATTTGTATAGCAACTAAAGTCAAATTTCATAGTGCAGTGATCGCTTTTTCCCAGTGGACTTTGGTATTCTAAATTTGAGATCATATTTTCCTCATTTGTTAAAATCAGGTCTAGGGTATGGGGTGTATTTGTACCCCTCCATCGTGTTGGTCTTGTAACATGTTGAAATAAGAAGTTTTCTTGTAGATTCTCTAAAAATTTGTATTCATTACTTTCTGTACTTTCACCTGGTGAATTCCAACTGTCCCAGTTTATTTCAGGAAAATTATAATCTCCCATTAATAGGATATGTGAGTAGCCTTTACTACAAGCTTCAGTGGTAAGCGTATTTAATTGTTTAGTGTATTCCTGTGATCTGTTTGATGGTGTTCTGTATATTAGGCCTAATAATAGCTGGTCTGACTGGTTTAAATTAATCTTAATAAATAAGTTTTCTTGGAATTCTGTATTCATTTGGACCTGTGATGCGTCCAGTTGTTTATCTATGTACAATAAAAGACCTCTGCCTGTGTCAACGTCTAGGTTTTTACCAAACATGTTGTAATCGGATACATCGGCTAAAGAATATTCTGAAATTCCTGGTTTGTACCGATTATTTTTAGGTTTAACCTCTGTAATACCAATTATTTTTGGTTTATCGTCTCTTGTTCTTACTGTTAATTCAGGCAGCTTGTTGAATAACTGATCTGCATTTGTGTATATACAGCTTAATTTGGGTAAAACTGTAAAATTATCTGTTTTTACATTTTTAAAAACCTTTTTACCATTAAAATTATTTACATTCTCTTTTCCTCTTTTATCTTTTAGGAGTCTAGCTTCCTTAATTTGACAACCTTCCTTGCCCAAGGTGGGCCCCTTACTTTGAAATGGTAGTCCCCCGAAATCTCTTCTTCGGTTTGTCTTCTCGCTTGATCCCACAATCTTTTCTCTTGCTCTCTTTCTGCTTGGGTTAGGTCGTTACTGACGCCCACTTTTTCGTATTTTGGGTTTGTTTTTATATAATGGATGTTTCTAAATAGGGTGATCTTAGGTTCTGCACTAGGTAATTTTACTAGGATTGGTCTATTTAGCTTTTCTTTGTTAAATTTCCCAAGTCTTTTAACCATTTTCAAATTTTCCTTATCCAGTTTTATTTTGCAGTCTGTAAAGAGCTCGTTTAGTTTTTCTTTGTCAGTATTATCTCTTACTTCTTTGCTCTCGTCATCTATTTCAGGGATCCCAAAGACGATCAGGTTATTTTCTCTTGCCTTTCTCTCATTAATTTCTTCAAGAACATTTGTTACAGTCTCCTTTCTTGTTATAGGATTGGCTGCTATATCTATCTCATTGTTTGTGGAATCGCTGTCTCCTTTATTCTCGGGCTTTTGTATCTTGCTTATTTCTTCTGTTATTATGGCTTTAACTTTTTCCTCATTACAACTTTCTTCTATGATTGGTGCCTCTATTTTGCCAACTTCCTCTTGTACCATCAATTTTACCATATCGTCATTGCAGTTTTTTATTTCCTCTCTAACAATCTCCTTGACTTTATCCTCGTCACATTTATTTTCAACTGTTTTTTCAAGTAATGTAATTCTTTCCTCATAACTCTCCATTATCTGTTTGCACCTTCTTTCTATTTCAATATCGGTGACTGCATGTTGTTCCATGACTATTCTGCATTTCCCACAAAACCACATTGCATCTGTTTTACATAGCATGCTGTATTCCGCTTTTGTTTTCTTTAGACAGGTTATGCAGAAATGTTCCTTACACCTTTGGCATTCCATAAGTTGAGCCTCTGGCTCCCTGAAGATTTTGGTACATTTTGCGCATGTCCACGCTTCATCCTCATCTTGACTTGTTTTTTGTGACGATTTGGGGCCTGTGGTACTGTTTTTTCTGGTTGACGCCATACTTCTTACTTAATAAAAATAGGGCTTCCCTATTTTTTTTTTTTTTTTTTTTACCTGACTGAGGAATTGTATAAGGCTTCCTTACACCAATTTATTTTGTAGTACTTTATTTTATTCTACTTTTATTTAAAGGACAAGGCTACCCTATCCTTATCTAAAGTTCGATTTCAAATGAAGCTAGACTATCCTAATTTTGACAGGGCTTCCCTATCACGTGTTTAATTTATTTTGGGACAAGGCTTCCCCATCCGTTTGACATAAACTGCACTCTCAAATGATAGAATTAGGGCTTCCCTGTTTCCTCAATAACTATCTCTCTTGACTTATTTTTCAGGACAAGGATTCCTTATCCTCCTAAAAAATGTTTAGCACTGACCTTTTTAATAAAAACAAGGCTTCCTTTGTTTTTATTTCTCCTTGTTGTATATATTCCTTTCCCTTACTCAGAAGACAAGGCTTCCTTGTTTTCTGTTCACGTTTTAAATAAAACTAGGCTTACCTCTACGTAATAGGGCTTCCCTATTACTCTAAAAAAAAATTTTTAATTTTTTTTTTTTTTATTTTAATTATTATTTCTCTGTTAGAATATGCTTTTTTACTTTAAATTTGAAGACAAGGCTTCCTTGTCTATGGAACTGAAGTACCTATCTATAGAGTCAATATTTCACTTCGTTATGTACAGAACAGGGCTTCCCTATTCTGTCTTGCCTCCCCAATAATTTACTATGCCCAGACAAGGCTTCCCTATCTGGGTTTATTATATATATATATATAATAACAGTTCCCTTTTACTTTATGCAACTGAAACAGGGCTTCCCTATTTCAGTGACTCCTCCTTAACAGGTTTCAGACACTTCTAGGGATAGCTCCACCATTTTGTAAACCCATAGTTTAGCTAGCGTTCTATTTGGGTGGATGCCGTCTGACAATAACTTATAGTTTTTCCTGTACCTCACCCTGGTTTTGTTTTTGGGTTTGTTCGATATTATTTGGTCTTGTGAAAATCTGGGTGCTCTATACTTCTTATTAAGTAATTTTAATTGACTATTATAGTAGTCTACTTGGTAGCACAGTTCTTTATCCAAGCTACTCGCTTGTGTTACTGATCTAAACCCTTTTGACTTATCAATTACTAATGCCGGGTAATGCCTCTTGTTTCTTTCCTTTGTTGTTACAATTCTGGTACCACTATACTTTTTCACTACTAAGGAGTAGTTTGATGGTTTTTTCTGATTGTTGTTTTGTTCTAATATGTCTTTATTTTTCTTCCCTTCTCTGATTGTTTTATTAAATGTGGAGATTGAATAATATGGGCATTCAAGAAAGATTATAGTGACATATTTGAATCTTGTAAGTATTTTGTCTCTTAGTTCTCTATAGCCTGTAAGTATTGACTCTATATTTTGATAGGGGTAATTTCTTAGGTATGTGTATTTTCCCTTTGTGGTAATCTCACAAGTTCCAAACCAGATTAGAATAATTGGGTCTTTTTGTTTCAGTTCTTCTAGTTTTGCAAAGAGGTTTTTTAAGTGCTCATCAGTGGTGGCTGTAGTTCCGCTCTTGGCTATTATGTGGAACTTGTCACGGACGCTGTCTGGGACCACTTTATCTACACTAAACCCCTTGCTGTCCGTGAAAAGCACGGTTTCTCTTGAAAGGCCCTGCCTTTTAAATAGGTTATAAACCCTTTTGTATTCTTTTATTATCTTGTTCACTGACATGAATTTCTATTGTTTATGCAATGTCAAAATTCGGATATACAAAATTTCAATTTCAAAATAAAAAAAAAAAATCCAATATGGCGGCAACAGGCCGAGTGTCAATGCACAATTTTCAAAGAGGATTTTTCACTATTCGTCACTAATTAATCCATATTTACATTTATATACAGTTATTTATGGCTCATTTACTGAAAATATTTGACTTATTTGACAACTGACTCACAAAAACACACAGAAAACTTATCTTTTTTTGACTTTTTGCAGGAGCAGAAAAATCTTGACCATGCCGACCGGAAGTCACGTGATCGATCCAGAATGTAAAAAAAAAATAAAAATGTTACACTAGAAGGAAAACAAACAAAACATATACATGTAATAAGGTTGTGAACACAAAAGAGAAAAAAAAATTTACATCAGAAATACAATAATGAAGTGTATGTTTCTGAACGGACACAATTATTTAAGAGATAAGTATTACTTGTTGAACAAGATGTTTGAAATCATATGACAAATCTTTTGCTACTGAGTATGAATGTTTGAACTGCCAAGAATATTTCAATGTTTTGTTCGTAGCTGAAATCCGTTGAACCGTATAGCAAAATTTCTTCCGACAAGAAATGTATGATATTGATGTTATAAAAATGCTGTTCACGCATGATGTGAAATCGGGGGCAGTGCAACAAGTAATGCGCTGTTGTTTCTATAGCACCACATAAACAAAGTGGTGAGGCCAATATATTTTTTACAAAAAGATGTTGATTTAGAGAACTGCATTGCATTCGAAGTCTTGAGTGATAAATTTGACCTAATCGCTTACCAATGTAATAATAATTTGGAGGCCTAGTCACCCGAGACTGGACACAATTCCTGAAAGCCCCCACCGAAGTACTGGTCTTAGCATTCTCAGGGAGGAGATTCCATGAACATACAGTTGTTGGTAAATAATAATTCGAATACAGGGCTGTTCTTGTTCGAACAGGGGGGATTAGTGACGAGTTTCTCGTATTATGATTATGTATGGTTGCATGGGATTCTGGAACTAAGTTTGATAAATATTCCGGAGTAATATGATTTTTCATCTTGTAAAAATAAATTAATCTGTGGGTCTATTGACATGACATCTGAAAAACGTCATGTATACAGAGGTAAATGAGCTCAAATTATTGTCTTGCAAATCAATAATGTATCACTGATTTTGTTTAGCTTATTTAGACACAATTGACTGACTGCAGAAAGCAAGTTGTTATTCAAAATTTTGTTCTTAATTGTAATTGTTTGAAATTTAAATACTGTCAAACTCGTGGCTAATGCTCCTTTAAAATAAATTAAAAACGCATTATTGCTTTATTTAATATTGTGTCATTTCAGTAGGGATGATTCTTATCAGTTATTTTGCATCTTGAAAAAATAGAAATATAAAATTGCCGGACTTTGTAAATGTTGTTTTTTAAGAGTTTTCATGTGCATTTAATATTTTACAGACAATTTTATTTCAAAGAAATTCAATCTTAGAAAGAGGTCATAAGTGTTGTGCTTACTTTTGACATTTCATTAAAAAGTTTAACTACTTTTAGCATTGTGTTTTTTGCGCGTCTAGCGTACAAAACTATCAGCCTGTTATCTTTGGTGATTTTTTTGTTGTTGCTATCTGTTAATTGTGATAGATATGGGTGACGTCAAGAACAATTATCTCGCTTGTTATCAATAAAATAAAAGCATAAAGTCATATAAAGCGAGTTTCTTGTTATAATAATATTAAGGAAAAAGTAAAATCACAAAAATACTGAACTCCGAGGAAAATTCAATCGGAAAGTCCCTAATCACATGGCAAAATCAAATGACAAAACACATCAAACGAATGGACAACAACTGTCATATTCCTGACTTGGTACAGGCATTTTCAAATGTAGAAAATGGTGGATTGAACCTGGTTTTATAGCGCTAAACCTCTCACTTGTACGACAGTCTTATCAAATTCCGTTATATTTACAACGATGCGTGAACAAAACAGACATTATAAATAAAATAGTCAAAATATGGGTATAGCAGTCATCACTGTGTTACAATATCAAAACAAACAATTATTTACAAAAAAAAGCACAAAAGCATCTATCAAATTAAAAACCACATTCATTGCTTCGCGTGTCTGACGTCAGAAAATGTAAACGTCACATAAGAAAAAAGTTTGTCATTCAATGTTTATTCAAAACAATTTTATAATTTCACATGGGGAATGTTGGTATACAGGGTTAAAAAATCAAAAGTTATGTAAGAATTAATTTCAGAAATAGACCGAGATTTAAAATTGTCCAGAAGTTCTTTAGAAATCATTGAAACAATGCATGCATATATACTAAACTAGTCCTCTATGCACGTCTTTTTACATTGACTAAGCATCCATTACATAATCGACAAAAAAAATCATTCAGTGATTGTTTTAGAAAACTTTAGCTGCTAACTACCTTGCCTTTTTTTGTGCAGAAGTTTCAACAAAGAATCATGGAGCACGTGAAAAATTAGTTAGTTGGAAGTCGATGTTAATTTGTGTTAATATTTTCTATGCACTATTATTTGTTAATTTAACTTTATCATAGCAATTATTCAATGATTTGGTGTTATTTTTCTTTCTTTCAGATTCAATCAACGCTATTTACTTTCCAGTGCTCGTATGTTTACCTTTTCATTCATCACGGTGTTCCCTTCGCACTTGCTTTGCGGTTGCCGATGATCTAAAGAGAGGTCTCGTGGGTAAGGTCACTGCATACGGAAAGGTTATTGGCAAATTAAAGTACGGGAAGACAATTTTCAATAGCAGTACATGTCTGAAGATTTTGATAAGATAAAGGATTTTATTTACAGAAAAATAGTAGACAAATATGGCCGAAAAAGGTCCAGCAATTGGAATTGATCTTGGAACAACTAACTCATGTGTTGGCGTTTTCCAGCACGGAAAAGTAGACATCATTGCCAACGACCAAGGGAACAGAACAACTCCAAGTTATGTGGCTTTCACGGATACTGAAAGACTTGTTGGTGATGCAGCTCAAAATAAAGTCGCAATGAATGCTTCAAATACAATTTTTGATGCCAAAAGACTGATTGGAAGAAACTTTAGTCATTTTACAGTACAGTCAAATATCAAATTTTGGCCATTCAAAGTCATCGATAGTGGAGGCAAGCCAAAACTACAAGCGGAACACAAAGGAGAAACAAAAACATTTACCTCGGAAGAAATTAGTTCAATGGTATTAGTAAAAATAAAAGAAACCGCTGAAGTTTATCTCGGAAAGAAAGTTACAAATGCCGTCATCACAGTACCTGCATACTTTAGTTTTTCTCAAAGACAAGCCACAAAGGATGCTGGTTTTATTGCAGGACTTAATGTACTGCGAATAATAAACGAGCCAACAGCTGCTGCTTTAGCTTACGGTATTGACAAGAATTTATCAGGCGAGAAAAACGTGCTAATATTTGATTTGGGAGGAGGAGGGTTTAACGTTTCAATTCTTACGATAAATGAAAGTTCATTGTTCGAGGTTCGCTCTTCATTCGGTGATAGTCAACTTGGAGGCGAAGACTTTGACAACAGAATGATCAATCATTTTTTAAATAAATTTAAGAGAAAGTATAAAAAGGACATTTCTGGCGATAATGGTGCAATCAGAAAATTGAGAACTGCTTGTGAGAAAGCAAAGAAAACACTATCAAGCAGTACAGAAGCAAGTGTGAAAATTAATTCTTTGTTTGAGGGTATAGACTTTAACACAAAGGTTACTAGAGCACGATTTGAAGAACTCTGCTCAGATTTGTTCAAGGGCACACTTGAACCAATTGAAAAAGCTTTAAGAGGCGCTAAACTTGATAAAAGTAGTATTCATGAGATTGTACTTGTGGGAGGTTCAACAAGGATACCAAAAATACAGAAAATACTCTCGGAATTTATGAATGGGAAAGAACTTAACAAATCGGTCAATCCAGATGAAGCTGTTGCATACGGTGCAGCCGTCCAAGCAGCTATCCTATCGGGCGATCGTAGCGACACTATCAAAGATGTTCTTTTAATCGACGTAGCTCCTTTCTCCCTTGGTATTGAAACTGCAGGTGGTGTAATGACCAAACTAATTGACAGGAATACGAAAATCCCAGCAAAGACTTCACAGATATTTACAACGTATTCAGACAACCAACCCGATGTTAACATTCAGGTCTTTGAAGGTGAAAGAGCAATGACCAAAGACAATTATCGTCTTGGAAAATTCGATCTCGATGGTATACCTCCAGCTCTCCGAGGTGTGACTAAGATTTATGTAGAATTTGATTTTTTTGCAAATGGACTTTTAACAGTTTCTGCTAAAGACAAAAGTAGTGGAAATTCTAAGAAAATTACAATCACAAATGACAGAGGAAGACTAAGTAAAAAGGAAATTGATCGAATGGTTTCCGATGCTGAGAAATATAGAGAAGAAGATGAAAAACAAACCCAGCGTATCACTTCAAGAAATCAATTAGAAAACTACATATTCAGTGTTAAACAAGCTATAGGTGACTCTAAAGATAAGCTGTCAACACAGGACAAAGATGATTTAGGCAATGCTTGTGAAGAGTCACTTAAATGGATGGATAATAATTCTCTGGCAGAGAAAGAGGAATTTGAGGACAAGATGAAAGAACTGCAGAAAGTATGTTCGCCTGTCATGACAAAACTTCAAAAAGAAGATGAAAAACAAAAGCAGTGTCTCGCAGCAAGAAATAAACTGGAACACTATATATTTAGTGTTAAACAGGCTTGTGAAGAGTCACTTAGTTGGCTGGATAATAATTCCCTGGCAGAGAAAGAAGAATATGAGGACAAAATGAAAGAATTGCAGAAAGTTTGTACCCCTGTCGTGACAAAACTTCACGGTGGTGCTCAAAATGGACCATAAATTAGTACATGAGGTTAATATGACAGTGAAAGCATGTCACATGAACCTACTGTCAGTTGGAAATCTAGTGAGAAAGTATTGCCTCCCATGTAAACACCGAAAACTAGATCATTTCAATGTTTGTACCGTTTTAGCAAGGACGCTATCAGTTTTTGTATTCACGGGAAAAATAGAAATAAGTTGAAATAAAAACAAATCAATTCCGTTCAATGTTATCATTTCCTCCTTAAATAGCAAACGACGAGTACAGCTGGCTATAGAACTTGTTGTTAAATTGGTTTAAAATTTTGCTATCCGAATAAATTTCTGGAACATGCTAATTATCCGTATATATATGCAGCTAGATCAGAGAAGTTCAAGGAAAATAATCCAAAGGAATCGATAATATGCAGCAAAGATTAACACTTTTGAATTTAAGTTACTAAGCAAATTCAAACGAACCTTATCCCGATGTAAGCATTGACTGTGAATAGATCGAGAAGACCGCAAATACATGTACAAAAATACGACTTTTTCCTAAAATTGTATAAATATTAGTACAAAGATACCTACTTTATAAAAATATTTATCTTTATTTTTTGAATCTGCACAGACAGACTTTAAAATTGTTACATTCACGAAAAGACAATATTTTGTATCGAATGTTCACGTGACAAGAGCAGACCGGTGTACTCGAAAACTTAGTTGTGAAAAATAAATATATTCTGGGAAATTGTAACATGCTAAGGACTTTGTGGAACACCCTGAAAGTTGGTGACCCCAAAGATCTTTAGATTTTGTATGTACAAGATTTTTCCAATTTTTTCATCAAAATGCAGCAAAGATAACATTTTTTATATTTCAGTTTTACAGCTTCTAATGCAGTTATCTCGATAAATACTGGACATAAAACACTGTGTATTTGCATGTTTATTTCTAACACAGTTTAACAAATAATTTCTTTAAAATGTACAATTGTTGTTTAGAAATAATTTTTGATTAGTATCGTCACCGGCATTGTTTTATTATTGATTTTCTCGACTTGTTCATAAGAAGAGTGAAGTTCTATTGTCTTCGTTCACTAGATTTCCCACTGCTGTGGAAAAGTTAATTAAGAAATATTTGTGAATTAAAAAATGCACTTTGTAAGTTTACAATAAGTCAGTTTTCGATATATCTATACCCCCGCTTCGAAAGGGGTTATACTGATTAACGTCAATCCGTTCTTCCGTCCATGTTTCGTCGGTCCTTCCGTCCGTCCCATGAAATGTTTGTCACACTTTTCTCCTAAGGAATAGGAAATCAGAGCATCCAGAAATTTGGTAGTAAGCTTCCTTTGAGATAACTTTACCATGTGAAGTCTTTTACATTCTTCTCTAACAGCTTCTCGCTACCGAATGTTTTGAGTTCTAATGTATTCTTACACATAATGGCCATGTATGATATTTAGTCACCTTTTTCTCAGTAACTACTAACAATAGCTTCCTAATATTTGGTATCCAGCTTCATGTGTGCATGCACGCTATATACCGCATAATGCGTTTTCACATTCATTACCCATAAACTTACTGTTTACCGAATACCTATATTTCTCCAGGTCACAGTGGCTTCCAAAAAGACTTAATGTTTTGTCAATGACATTGTTTATAATTATGTTACTTTGTTTAAATGTGAATGCATGTTTTTGTTTCAATGTACTTTAATCACCCTAATCATTCTAATCATTTATTGTGTTTTATTTTGTAATTCATGTGATTGTATAGCTCAAATTTTGGGCACCATAATTGGTTAATAAAATATCTTGTATCTTGTATCTTGCAAAGCGGGGCTATCATTTGTGAGCAATAGCTCACAGTTGAACTTTAGCTTGGTTCCGTTACTTTAATTTATTGTTATTTTTATTAATTATTTATTGTAGCATTTATATTTTAAATGTTTACTTTGTTTTAAATAAGGTGGATAATACATGTTACAGTCCTCGTCGTGGTCATAGCAGTCAAACATGCTGATTAAGATGTCGGAGTGCAGGGTTCACTAAGGTGGGGTGCTTAAAATATGAACTGTAGTCGAGAATAATATTTATTAAATAATAAAGCAGTGGCGTAGGAGTAGACTGCAAAGAAGGGAAAAACATTTGAAAGTTACAAACAAAAGAAACCATAGTTGTCTAGTAGTGAGTCAGTGTTCGTCATTCATTTTCATCCGTAAAAGGGACACACAAATTATATTGACCAATGCAACTGAAGCAATAAGGTTCCTTACATCATAACAACTTTGCGGAGGACATCAAGTGGTGGTGATTTAAAACAAACTACAAATATCATTTATTAACAGTAAACATCAATAGTAGTTCCCCTCGTGATTAACATGATTAATGCATATCAGCAAGGATCTTAGTCATTTCCACTCTGCAAGATTCAGAAAGAGATGGAGCTTTAGAACTTACTTATGTTCAATTGATAAAAAATGGGATGAATTCAAAAGATGTATTTGTGACAGAATTTCTTTACTTCTGAAAAGATATGCACATGCTGAAATTTTCATCCTCATTTTTCATTGACCCATCAGTTTTTGGTGCGTCTGAGTTTCAAATTCTTGCATCAAGTATTATGATTTTCACCATATCTTTGTCATTGGTCTTATGGAATATAAGCTGAATGAAAATGTTTTTCATCTTGCAACATCTTTGGCATACAAGTTTGTGTCGATGAATGTTATTATATCTAACTCAATCTATAAGTAAAGTGAGCAGATATGTGAAATCGTATTAAACTCTGTCTCTCCTCGTCGATCTTTCTTAAATGATATGAATAGCCGCTACTGCTATGTCCTTTGTAAATGCGTACTCTAAATAAAGTTCATGAACTATGTATAACAAAACTACCTAATGCTAGGTCGATTATAAATATGTGCATTTGTAAAACTTCATGTACTCTGAAAAGACACTATGCATGACCGTATGCAAAGTCTACTATACATTTGTACTTTTTAAAAAAACTCCACGAAGTTCTGTGCAAATCACCGAGTCGTATATTACGTCGATTATAAATAAGTGGATTGTAAAAATTCATATTATTTGCAAAACACCACGAACTTAGTGAAAATATGAAACAAGTACTATCTTTTAAAAAAAGATATCTGACGCATTCAGATGTGAGCATAGAGTTTAAAACAAACCATTAATCTTTATCAGGTATTTTTAATCATATTTCAAAAAAATGCACACAATTTGACGGCAAAAGGCTGATGATTCTGAAAGTTGAGTGTATGCTCTTTTCCCTAAAGAATTAAAATATCTACTGCATGGGTCTTACCTAACTGTATGTATATATATAAGTATTTTTCAGATATAGAGAAGTATATACCTATAGCTGTGAAATAGACATAAACATAAGATATTAGTTGGTTACGATCTGTAATCAATAACAAACTTGACACAGTTGAGAACCATGAAGAAATGTCAATTGTGGCTATATGTCAAGCACAACTTTAACAATTAGAGATACAACCTATTTCGGTGTGTATATCGCGGACGGACGGACGCCAAAGGGAGATGATCTATATAATACAGCTTTTGACAAGTCATATTTGCAATATATGTATTTTGACATTCTTTATTTCAAGTTTAATATTTTGTACTCTTTGAAATTTTATTACGCTTTGGAAGTTTTAGACTGCACTTGCAAACTTGTACACAAATTCGATAAGATATATGTATAGCCATGATAGTACTCGAGCTATTATAACCTAATTGACCTGGTAGATGTAATGAACATGTAAGTGATATTTACCTGATCATGTATTAAAGGCTAAGCCTACAAAATCCAAACAATTTGACAGTTGCGATAATGACACCTTCTTTTATTTTTATTTATCTGAATAATTTCATTTTTATAAATTTGATTTTAGGTCCGTAATATTTTGTTTTTATTGTAGCATATATCTTTTTTTGTTGGTTTTTGTTCAATTCCGTAATTTCGTCCAATCAGAGTAAAGATGTATGGCATCATGCATGCCGTTGCCATAGTTAAGCGTCCTTTAAAAATAGGTCACAAACCGAAATTATTACTGACGCACAGTAAAAAGGTAGATGTGGTGTGATTGCCAATGACACGACTCTCCACTAGAAACCAAATGACATAGAAGTAAACAACTATAGCTCATGAGGTCATCGTAAGGCCTTCAACAATGAGTAAAACCCACAACGCATAATAAGCTATAAAAGGCCCCGAAATGACAAATATAAAACAATTCAAACGAGAAAACTAACGGCCTGATTTTTTACAAAACAATAAACGAAAAAAAAAAATGATATACAGCAGCAACAAACGACAACTACTGAATTACAGGCTCATGACTTGGGACAGGCACATACAGAATGTGGCAGGATTAAACATGTTTGCTGGCGCAAAACCCTCCCCATAACCTGGTCCATTATAATTGTTTACACTATTGAAACTTCCTGAGCTGTGCAAAACACAAAGCAATGTCTGAACAAATGTGAAACTTCATGAACTCTGCAGAACAAAATGACCTAGCTTATACCATCTTCTTTATAAATTTGAACACTACGGAACTTTAGGAACTGTTAACCAACTCGCAACTTGTGTAATGTCAATCATGAATATGCACCTATGAAACTTCTCTTTAACGATGCTTAAAACTACTACCACTGGGTCGATGCCTCTGCTGGTGGACTGTGAGTCCCCGAGGGTATCACCCGTCCAATCGCCAGTACTTCCGTACTGGCATGAAATTATGGAAGTTGTTTGATTAATATTTGCAATTAAAAATTTTTGATTTTTTTTAATTAAGGCATATATCTCCCTCATGCAACGAATTGATTCCTTATCCCAATTAGGCTATACTTTAGATTCTTTTTGGTTTGATCCGTTCTTCTACTCTTGTTTTAGATTTTGAATATTCCAATATATTTTGGCCTCGAGCATCACTGAAGAGACTTTATTTGTAGAAATGCCATCCGGTGCATCAAAATTTATACCATTTGTGTTATTATATTATTAATACATTTATATATACTATGTTCTTTATAGATTCGTGCACTTATGAAACTTCATTCGCTTTGCTTAATACCACGACGGCTTGTCTATGTGACCTTGTACAATGTCCATTTTTAATTCATGCACTTATGAAAGTTCATAAACTATCCTTATCTACATAACCGCATGCAATGTTAAATATAAATTATACCCCATTTAAAAGTTCATAAACTATGCTTTACAGTGACCATGTGGTTGTGCATTATAGATTCATGAACTTATTAAACTTCATGAAGTGTGATAAACACCACGACTTCGTGCCATCTTCATAATAAATTAATCCACTTATGAAAAATAATGTCCATTATAGATTTGTGCATTTATGAAACTTCACGACCGACATTCAAAATGCAACGACCTTGTACCATTTCCTTTATAAATTTGTACACTAAGAAACTTCAGGAACTGTGCACTACTTCGCGACTTGTGCAATGCTAAAAATGTCTGTTCAAAATTGGTGGCACTTGTTACACTGTATAAAATTATTAAAGTGAGCAGAATGACAAGACCTTGTGTGTTGTTTTGGATCTTTTATATGTAAATTTTCACACTTATTGATATATATACACAGCCTGTATGTATAGAAGAATAATTTCTCAACAATACAGGAAAACTCTTTACAGGCAGATTCACTATAATGTTAAATGTAAGAATGGTTTTTCAAATATTTTTGATCTAGATGTCAGTTTGTACGTCAATTAATATTAAAGATCAATCAGTGTGCATATAAATAAACTCATCGTAGATACCAGGCTTCAAATGTTGTACGCCAGATGCGTGTTTTGTCTACAAAAGACTCATCAGTGACACTGAATCAAAGCAGTTAAAAGAGCCAAATTAAGTACGAAGTTGTACAGCATTGAGGACGAAAAAATAAATATTTCTTAAAGACTCAGTTACTTTTATCCTAGTGGTACGAATAAGGAAACAAAATTACTGCTGGTTTTGAAAACCAAATTGACAAAAAAATTTCATGTAGATCTAATATAATTCATATATGCTAAGTATTTGTAAGGAAAGCCATTATAGTCTCTTAATACCTTAAGAAATAAACCTTTCAAATCACTTGCAAGCAAAGTAGTAAGATAATTATGATGTATTACTAACTGAGACCATTTAACCTACATTCAAATTTGAAAATAAATAAAATAGCCAAAACCTTCAAATTGTTATAACAAATTTTTGCAAGTCCTTGTGTTCAAAATTTTCACCTATTCCCTTTTTTTCTGAACATTGTTCACAGTCAATGTTTTACTGAGAGTTCACTTACATTGAAAAAATCAAAGAGCTGAAAGCTCTGAGGAAAAATGACGCCACTGTCTCTAATATTGTGATATTTTTTATGCAAGTCTTGATTTTCACATACCATAATTAGTTTAACATTCCAACATGTCTCATAAGCATATAATTGATATTCGTATATGTGTGTGTTATGTGAAGATGACAACTGGCTGTTTTTTTAGTACAAATGTATAGGTCAAGACTACCTGAATGATCTACAGTATCCAATGACTACTGGCTGTTTTTTTCTATAAAAAAATAGGTCAAGACTACCACAATGATCTACAATATCCAATGACTACTGGCTGTTCTTTTGTACTAATAAATAGGTCAAGACTATTTGAATGATCTACAAATATCCAATGACTACTGGCTGTTCTTTTGTACATATAAATAAAGACTACCTGAATGATCTAAAGTATTCTAAGTAATGTGATTTTTGTCTTGCAATTACATTTTTCTAAATCAAGAATATAGACTACTAGTATCCTTTTCAAACCAAATGATTATGAAGAGCCTGTTGTTATCAAGCTCTTATACCCCACATACTCATTAAATAAGTTACTAGTGACCTAGTTATTTCTGTTACTTGAAGCAAATTATATTTCTGTAGATTTAGACAATAGTATAATATTGTTTTACTAGTTTTATTTCACCTTGAAGATTAGACAAATAGGGATACTCCTTTGATTTTTTATTTCATGTCAGTCAGGTCGCTTTATATGAAACTTGAAACCACTTCTCTGCCATATTGTTATTTCATAACAACTCTGCCCTTGACCATGTTGACCCATGTAATTGATATTCATTCTTTAACCATATATCATAGTCAGTTAGTTTTTGATTTTGCACTCCAACACCACCTTTCAGGTCAAATGTCTGTCTCCATTTAAGTTAATGACATTGAACAATCATGGTATTAAACACAATTCCAATAGTGATAATGCTGTTCTAGTAGGTCACCATATATTCAACTCAGGTAGCATTCCAGTTATTGAAATTTGTGTCAGATTAGAACAATGATCTAGACCTTTAGGAATGGATCTTACAATTTAATATGGAGCCATAGTATGGGACCCCTACACGGTAACAAAAAAAAAACAAGCTTGAAAAGATACAACGTCAAGCGGCAAAATCTATCACCAGAAATTACAAGTCAAGAGAGGATGGACGGGATACGTCTCTAAAATGCTTGCCTAACTGGAACTACAACAAGATCTCCAGACAAGGCGAACAAGGAGTTGAAGCCAGAAGTTAATATTTATGTAAAAAGTAGTTGAGGGGCTGATTCCTGCTATTGAACCATACTGTCATTCTATAATATTATTGCGTAAGTATTTCTGTATTGTCCTTGTTATTGGTCCATGTCTTGGTGTATTGGTCTGAGGCGAAGCCGAAGGCCAATACTGCTGGCCGAGGACCAACAATAAGGCCAATACAGAAATACATGTAATAGTATCTTTATTAATTAACTACAGTGTTACAATATTTTTTTATTTCATTTCACAAGAGATAACCATTTTTACCTTGAAGTGGAACTATCCAAATCTCAGTTTCTTTATATAAGATGCAATATCTAATGATTTGGTGCCGTTTCCATGCATCTTCAGCCTTTTCTCATCTGATGAATTTTTCTACCCTTTCCAGTCACTATAAAGTGTTACAACTTTAATTTAGACACAACACATAAATAGTAATTGGAAAGGTACTGCCATTGCATGTGTAATGCAAATATATTTTTAAAAAAAAATAATGTAAGAGTTGAAATTGATACAACTATCCATAAGCCAATTGACCAAAGAACGAAGATTTGCGCAATTACAGAATGCATATGCCTGGTTCGGGCTTAAAAATAAAAGACCGTTTACAAAACATGAGAAGCGAAAGTGAACAGTAAAAATCGACATGATGAAATTATGAGGTCGTCAAGAAATGAACTTTGTGATAATTTACTCGTTCCCTAAACCTGAAATATTTCCATCGTCTACTTTCAAAATGCTTTTCAAATGAATGGGACCGTCTTTAACCTAAAATATATGCCATACTGAACGTTTCAGCTTGTTTATGGTGAGTAAATAAAAACTGCGTCGTACAAACAACTGTTTACTTTCAGTTTGAGTTTATCGTGACTTCCGATCTAAAAACTAGAGACGTTCCGAAATCCTGTTTTGGCCGGATCAGAACTCGGCCAATACGGGAAAAAAATCTGTATTGGCCGAGTTGACATCTTATATTGCATATGCAGTTTTCATCATTTTAAGTACAATAACAGTGTAGTTAATTAATAATGATACAGTTACAGACTCTGCTGCTATAACTTTGTGAACAAAGATTCATACGCACCGCGTGGGTATAACCGTATTACTAATTTCCGATTATTAAAATCTTCGTAAATCTTGATAAAGACCAGTTTCTATCCAATGGATATCAAAATGATTCCGATTATTACTTTTTTAATGATTGTAAAGTTGAAATGGCATGAAAGGCTGACATTTTTTAGGAGAACTATTTTGTCTAGCGATTGCTGATCATTGGAGGGTAAAAAGTCCAACACCATAACAAAACGGATCTATTTATCATGTATACATACCGATTGTTTACGATTGTAAGACATGTGCATAAAAGTGAAAGCTCGAATAAATATGAAAAATATAACAAAGGGATAGCTCCAAATACCATTTAATAACAAAAAACATATGGACAGGTCAAGATATCTTTTTGGTAAATAAAATAACGTATGTAAACTGGTTCCCGTCCGACTACAACACTTTAACAAAGACTTTGTTCGAGTGTAGCGTAATACAAGCATATTCCAGTTAGTATGTAAAATAGTAAATATGAAACCGAGTGCGGTAGGCGGAGGCATAATCAACTTCCGTTAGGTCTGGTCAATGGTATCGGAAACATGCCGCTGATAGCGTCATTTTCCAAAAAAGGAATTGACTGAAATAAGGTGTCATCTAGGCAACCAGAAAATAATGTACAACAAATGAAATTGTCAAATAGCCATACCCTCTAAACTTTATGTGGAAATGATTTAAAAAAGAACAATTGTTAGATATGATTGCTTTATTAGTATAACCTTAAAACAAAAATGAAATGTTTATAAAATAATATGTGAAACATACACATATTTGTGAGAAACATCAATACAAATTTTGTTTTAAATTAAGTACCAAGAACATTTATTATATGTAGTGTAATTAAACAGTTGTACATATTATTATTAAGAGAGAACAAAATACAGGTTATCTTGTCATCCTTGAAAAATTAAGCCACCTTTTCTCAAGTTTCCTCATTTATTTTCAAATAAACATTTTAAAAGCATAAAATATGGCACATCTTTTGGCCATCAAACATTAGTAGGAATGTAATTTACACATTGTATGATGAAATCAAACTATAACCATTCTACAGTATTAAATAGTAAACAGCTTTCCATGAGTGCATAATATGCTTATCCTCTATCAACTGTAAAATAACCCTTTTTAAAGACAAATTATTGTTTATCAATGGGTGTAAGCAAACTCACGAAAGATGCAAAAACAGTCATGTTATTTCTAAAGGCTAGTAATTCTATCATGTGCTACTGTAGAATTAACCAACTAGATCAAAAGGTACAAAATCAAATCTTAAAATCAGTTGTATGGCTTGAAAGCAACTACACAAAATTTGGAGTTGCTGATTCTTTTTTATCTGCTGTTAAGAGTTGACTATCATACTGGTATTCTAATCATTCAGCATGGACACAAATAAGAAAATAAACTGTTATAAAGCAATATTCAATGACGTACTTAAATTTTGAAATAATATTAGAGAACAGAAATTGCAAATATGCAGGTACACAGATAGGAGATGACAAAATTAATATTCTGTTTGAAGCAAATAGTGATTTGTTATTTCTCTCTGTTTTCCTATATTATCCTATACAATCAAAATGGCCATATTTCTTGTGGACAGTATGATACTAAAAAATATTGCAGTGTTCAGTGCTAACACAGAATATATACAAACAAATCATACAAAACATTAAGACTAGACTTTAAATCAGAACAGCAACACAGGCCATTTCATTCGCTTTTATTGTGCTTTTCAAAAAGGCTTTCACCATCAAGTTACCAATGTGCGTAGGTGTTTGTAATTAATCATTAAATCATATTAACCCGTGAACATTAGACTTGGAAGGAAAAGTTGGCTCAGCAGTTTAGAGATTAAAACCTCTTTGATAAGCAGGATAATATTTTAGTATACACAATTACTGACAGAACTAGACAAGCACCGTACAAGTAACTTTTAAACACAATTTCTTTCCATTTTAGAGAGCCCATGAAGATATTATTTAATAGTATTACAAATATATCAAATGATTAAATTCAGCTTATTGTTGTGGTAACAAAAACACAATATATTCAGTTACTAATAATAGCTCCTAGTATTGGTACCCTTTGTTATTCCACTCATTGGAGAGTCTACACATAAAAATGCAAGAAGGAAATGTGAAATCTGAAAAATTATAAGATGACCAAGAATTTAAATTCCCAAATATATACTTTTCATTGACTTTTACGGATAAAGTGATAAATAGACTAAATTCTTTATCCACAGAACGCCAAAAAAATGTATCGAAAGTACTTTTATTGAAAAACTGTGTACATACCGACATGGTTTGTAAATGCACATACCGTTATTCAGCAGTGAATTGTTAAAAACAACAGATACCAACACTATGTGAACCAAGGTACCAGTCCTTGGTATGAAACTGTGACCACAAACATAAACAAATATTCAGATAAAAATAAACAATGTCATTGTTCTGATTTTTACTTACAAAAGATGAGTACAATTCAGCACTATTAGCAATGTTACAGTATTCATAAATTTATGAATTACAAGGAAAAATCACAGGAAAATTCTATAACCCCTATTTTCCTAACAGTTTGAAATATGCTATACTGTATACATCATTGGCATTAGATTTTTGTGGAAAATCAGAAAAAAATGTTGTACAAATTAAGAAATATAAATATAAATGAAAATTAGTTTTGTAAATGTATCATCAAAAATGTTTGAACACATTCTCTTTCATACGTTTACAACTTCATAAACTATCTTTTGTGACTTTGGGCTTGTTCGTGACTTGAGGATGTCATTTCAACATCGTTCCAGATCAATATGGTGTAAAAAAAAAGGTCAAAATGCTGTATAGAAAGAATCAATACAGATAAATATAATGGTCCTTTATTATGACTTTAAAGCTAAAAATTTGTCTATTTTGAACATGGACGGAACTTTTAATATAATCGAGATTCTAAATTAAATTGAGAACATTTAATTTATCATTATTTGTGTAAAACAAATTTTGTAGATTCTATGGGTAGAGTTGAACTACCAATAAAGTCTTCAACAAAATACAAATTTCATATGTAGATTGGATTAAAACCACAGTATCAAGTATCCACAAACATACCATTGTTCCACAAATAATGAAAATCAGTACTCTTTTTTAATTAATAATGGATTGATTGTTTGTGTTAACATACTAAAAATTTAGTAAATTTAGAAAGGATTTAGTTGCTAGAACTATAATATTTATCGGTTTATCTACAAATTTAAAATCTTTCCTCATATTACAATCAAACTTCTCTCTCAAAATAAAAAATTGTAACATGTTTATAACATCAATATGTTCTTTATCTAGTAGTTAAAACTCCCTTTCACAGTACTTCTGATAAAACAGAAAGCATATGAAAATAAAAATAAAGAAATAATGCATGTAATATTTTGTTTTCCTATATCATGGACAGGTTCATGAACCGACATACATAGGGAAATTTTAATATTTTTCTGTTGAAATTCTGCTTGTTTGTCAACTTTAACGCAGAACATGACTCAATTTACATCATAGACAAATATATAACAAGATATTGAAAAATATCATTGGAATCCATGCTTGAATTTTATTAACAACCATAATATCACAGAAGCTGGTAAAATTAACAAAAAGTTATGGGATTTCTGTCCCCCCACATCTACCATTTAAAATTCAATGTAAAAATTACCATCACCATGTAAATTTGCAGAAAAATATTTCTACATTTTTTATCATAAACTCAGTATATTGATAATATTAGATAGTTTATAAGTGAAATTTTATATAAAATTATAATTGTAGCTATGTTTGAAATCTCAAAGCATTGTCTGAAAAATCAGGCTAAGTAATTGTGTGTATTTTCAAAATAAAATACCCAGACAGACTTCTAGAAACAACCAACATGGTTACATATTTAGATCACATCAAAAGAACAATGGAAATACCAATCATGTGGGGACAGCAACAATGTACTTTTCCAAATGCATGAAATAAAGAGTTTTCATTATTTTTTTCTTAAATTCTTCTTAACACAACTTTGCAATTATGTATAACTATCATATTTATTCTTGATGATTGATTTTTGGTGTTTAACGCCACAATTAGCACACTTGGCATTATCATGGCAGCGTTTTTATTGGTGGAGGTAGAGGAAGTATCCGGAGAGAACAGCCAACTTTCGGTGGGAAAAAATATTCTTTATAATAACATCTTATAGGAGTAGGCGTTCTATATCAATGTATCAACCTTGGAGACACAACTCTTGAATGGCAAATGTGGAAACAGTGAAAATTAGAACTTGACCAGCATATACAAGTTATAAAGTCCCCCAAAGCAAACATAATTATCATGTTGAAATTGTTTGTTTTATATGGACAAAATAGAAACTTGATGCTCCATTGATTTTTTTTTCTTCAAAATTCATAATAAAATAGCAAGTATAACAAAAAAATGTTAATTTTGTTCGACAAGGTATTACACCACCTTCCATATATACATACAATCCCATGGTTGTCAGTTTTATTTTATGTCCAGAATACATCACTGACATTTGGTAAGTAACTTACAAAATCCATCATATATATACTTATAGAACAATAAATACACCTTATAATGTTAGTCAGCGCAAGTACAAACCTTAGTAGTCATAGAGTATACATAAAAGAAATTGTCACTTTATAATATCACAAATAGTAACAATTTATTCCCTGTCTCATACCTTTAGTAGCAGTACAATGTATTTATAGTCGAATTTTTCTAATTAAAACAAAAAACAAACTCAAAACTGTCATAGGACAGGTACTGAAAATACATATAAACAGTATTTAATTACACTTGTTATAGTCTATCAATAGAAATGTATATATTTTTAAACTTTGTGCATCTCATAATACATATACAATGAATAATTTAACTTAACAACAAACAGCATGTCACATGACTAGTCATGCGACACATGTATGACTTTATTCCACTTATGTTGACTAGAATTCACATTGAAGATCTTGTCACGTTACTTTCCCTTCAGCTACAAGGGTCCTGGCTAATGCCACATTTTTGGCAGTCTGTAACCCCAGTTGAGGTGGTCGGTCATGAGCTTCAACAAGATCTTTAATCTGTTGAAAGTAAAAGTTAAATGTTAAGATTATTTTCACTTCAAGAATTAACTAAATGCTAAAAGGATCATGAATGGTTCATTTGGCTCCTATATGGATAATCCTGACTCAACAAGGAAAAATTATTTACAGGTGTAACCATGGGTTATCATAAGTTTGATTTTAGAACACTCAGTAAATGGAAAGAATACTTTTTGTGTTTACCCCATCCACATTATTAATTTTCAGTAATAATGGAGGACTTGTTAGATGTATGCTTGGATAATTAAACATACATAATTCTACATTAATTCTGTATCATAAGATTGGTAGCTTTTCATTCTTTAAAGAATTTTTTTCAGATTTTCTTTTTTTTAAATTTCTTATTTTTTAGTAAATTTGATATTTGTTTGTATTTGGACCTTAATCTATCAAAACTATATCATTTTTTCAAAACTAGATGTAACAGTACAATATAATGCCCCTGTCTACAACATTATTGTTTTAACAAGAGTGCACACGCTGAAATGTCTCGCCTTCTTTACTAATCATTGATATTATGTTGATAGTCCTAAATATAAAGCTTTATTACACCTGTCACATAAACTTAACATTAACCAAGTAAACTAAACATTGACCAATGAACCATGAAAATGAGGTCAAGGTCAGATGAACCATGCCAGGCAGGCATGTACAGCTAACAATTCTTCCATACAACAAATATAATTGTCCTATTGCTTATAGTTTAAGAAAAACAGACCAAAACACAAAAACTTAACACTGAGCAATGAACCTTAAAAATGAGGCCAAGGTCAATTAAAACCTGCGTGACTGACATAAAGATCATAAAATATTTCCATACACCAAATATAGTTGAACTATTGCATATAGTATTAGAACTAGAGGCTCTAAAGAGCCTGTGTCGCTCACCTTGGTCTATGTGCATATTAAACAAAGGACACAGGTGGATTCATGACAAAATTGTGTTTTGGTGATGGTGATGTGTTTGTAGATCTTACTTTACTGAACATTCTTGATGCTTACAATTATCTCTATCTATAATGAACTTGGCCCTGTAATTTCAGTGGAAATTATTTTGTAAAAATTTACAAAATTTATGAAAATTGTTAAAAATTTATTATAAAGGGCAATAACTCCTTAAGGGGTCAATTGACCATTTTGGTCATGTGACTTATTTGTAGGTCTTACTTTGCTGTACATTATTGCTCTTTACAGTTTATCTCTATCTATAATAATATTCAAGATAATAACCAAAAGCTGAAAAAATTTCTAAAAATTACCAATTCAGGGGCAGCAACCCAACAACGGGTTGCCTGAATGGTCTGAAAATTTAAGGGCAGATAGATCTTGACCTAATGAACAATTTTGTTTTTGAAAGATTTGCTAGAAATGCTTTGGGTTTAGATATATGAGCCAAAAACTGCATTTTACCCTATGTACTATTATTAGCCATGTCGGCCATCTTGGTTTGAGGGCGGGGTCATCAAACACAATTTTTAAACTACATACCCTAATGATGATTGTTTTCAACTTTAGTTAAATTCATCTTAGAAGTTTCAGAGGAGAAGATTGTAAAAGATAACAAAAATTTACGAAAAATTGTTAAAAATTGACTATAAAAGAGCAATAACTCCTTAAGCGGTCAACTGACCATTTTGGTCTTGTTGACTTATTTGTAGAACTTACTTTGCTGAACATTATTGCTGTTTACAGTTTATCTCTATCTATAATAATATTCAAGATAATAACCAAATAAGGAAAAATTTCCTTAAAATTACTAATTCAGGGGCAGCAACCTAACAACGGGTTGTCCGATTCATCTGATCTTGAGCTAATAAACATTTTTACCCTTTGTCAGATTTGCTCTCAATGCTTTGGTTTCAGAGATATAAGCCAAAATCTACATTTTATCCCTATGTTCTATTTTTAGCCATGGTGGCCATCTTGGTTAGTTGGCCGGGTCACCGGACACATTTTTTAAACTAGATACCCTAATGATGATATTGGCCAAGTTTGGTTAAATTTGGCACAGTAGTTTCAGAGGAGAAGATTTTTGTAAAAGTTTACGGACGACGGACGACGGACGCCAAGTGATGAGAAAAGCTCACTTGGCCCTTTGGGCCAGGTGAGCTAAAAAAAGCCCAAAACTCAAAATCTTAACTTTGACCACTGAACCATGAAAATGAGGTCAAGGTCAAATGACACCTGCCAGCTAGACATGTACATCTTACAATCATTCCATACACCAAATATAGTAGGCCTATTGCATACAGTATAAGAAAAATAGACCAAAACACAAAAAATTAACTATAACCACTGAACCATGAAAATGAGGCCAAGGTCAGATGACACCTGCCAGTTGGACATGTACACCTTACAGTCCTTCCATACACTGAATATACTAGACCTATTGCTTATAGTATCTGAGATATGGACTTGACCACCAAAACTTAACCTTATTCACTGATCCATGAAATGAGGTCGAGGTCAAGTGAAAACTGTATGACGGGCATGAGGACCTTGCAAGGTACCCACATACCAAATATAGTTATCCTATTACTTATAATAAGAGAGAATTTAACATTACAAAAAATATTAACTTTTTTTCAAGTAGTCACTGAACCATGAAAATGAGGTCAAGGACATTGGACATGTGACTGACGGAAACTTCGTAACATGAGGCATTCATATACAAAGTATGAAGCATCCAGATCTTCCACCTTCTAAAATATAAAGCTTTAAAGAAGTTAGCTAACGCCGCCACCGCCTGATCACTATCCCTATGTCGAGCTTTCTGCGACAAAAGTCGCAGGCTCGACAAAAATGTACATTTCTGAGAATTCATATGAAAGGTCAGGTGTACCAGGGACATAAACTGGCTACAAAGTGTTCATGGGTATATAGTGTGGTTAATATGACAAAACTGAGGACTTCATAAATGTATTTTCAATAAGGAAGAGATGCAATCTAGTTTCAGATCTGCAGGCAATACATGTAAAAAAAAATCTTAATTATATATTTACTAAATTTCTATCTTAATTACATTTTTACTAAATTTTCTAAGTCCAAGGGAAGTAATTCTGACAAAAATTTGTTCAATCAAAACAAAATACAAACATGATCTGTAATATCATCATTATATACTGCTGTACAAAAAATCAGGTACAGATCTGCATGCATTACAAAAAAGTCAGGACAAGTACAATTTTCATGAATTTTTCTTAGTCCAAGGGTCACAATTCTTAAATACTGTAAATTCAGAAATCATTGTGAGGTTTTTATTAATGCGAATAATGCGACTGAGCGAGTATCGCAATAATAAGAACTTGCATTGTGGTATCTTAAACATATATCTGTATGCAGATTTTCCTGAAATCGCAATAATTAAACTCGCATTTTTGTCCATTCTTCAACAATCGCAATAATAAATGCACGCAATAATATCTGAATTTACAGTATGTTGGTCAACCAGGACAAAACCATAACTAGGTATCCAAGTTACTCAGTGGCAGAGGGCAAATGTCATCGGATATTAACTTTATTTGGGACAAATGTAAAGTACAAAAGTACAAAGTTTGACTTTTAATAATATACCTTGCATGAATGACTTATGACAGCACCATTGGTCTTCAGATTCTTTCTCATTTCATCGATATCTGTCAGATCTACACCTCGACATGCATCCTCAATTAGTACTGTCCTAAATCCATGTTCTACAGCATCTAAACAGGTAAATCCTGTAAAGCATTAATTAAATCTGTTAACAAATACATTTCTAGTGGTTAATCAAGCTACATCCTGCAGACAAATATTCCCCCTAAAAAATTAATTGCAAGTCACGAACATTTCAATATAACTTACAATCAATTTTAGTTGTATTATTTTTTGTGAAAAGAGCTACCGGTGGATAAGACCTTAAGAAGAATTGGAACAGTATTTCAAATTTTTCAACAACAAAAAACCAAACAAACATGTCTTCCATAGTTGGGATGTTTTATTTCTTGAATATTTCTGGAATAGCCAATAATTGTTAGTTTGTAGACCACGTCTTAAAGCAAAGACTACTGGTTGAACAGTGTTTGTATGTCTGAAAAAACTTAAAATTTTTCAACTTCATCAAATTTGTGGTCTGACAAAAAAAAAAATCCCATCAGTATATAATAAAATGATCCGCAGGGCGCAGCTTGATACTACCGCAGAGGTCGAACCCTGAACAGTTGGGGCAAGTATGGACACAACATTCAAGCTTGATACAGCTCTGAATTTGGATTGAGATTAAATATTTGACATAGCATAGGTTTCCGACACAGAATGAATGTGGTCTAAGAACTTAAAAATTTTAAATTGGACATTCACCTATTATGGTCCAATATCCAAAATATAAATACATGGTTAGATTCAGCATATCAAAGAACCCCAAGAATTCAATTTTTGATGAAATCAAACAAAGTTTAATTTTGGACCCTTTTGACCTCAATGTGGACAAAGTTGATAGCGGGGCCCACAAATAAAAAATATAAATACATGGTTAGATTTAGCATATCAAAGAACCCCATATATTCAATTTTTGTTGAAATCAAACAAAGTTTAATTTTGGACCCCGATTTGGACCAACTTGAAAACTGGGCCCATAATCAAATATCTAAATACATGTTTAGATTCAGCATATCAAAGAAGCCTAAGAATTCAATTTTTGTTAAAATCAAACTAAGTTTAATCTTGGACCCTTTGGACCTAAATGTAGACCAATTTGAAAACGGAGTCAAAAATTATAAATCTAAATACACGGTTAGATTTGGCATATCAAAGAACCCCAATAATTCAATTTTTGATGAAATCAAACAAAGTTTAATTTTGGACCCTTTGGACCTCAATGTGGGCCAATTTAAAAATGGGGCCCAAAATCCAAAAACTTAATACATGGTTAGATTCAGCATATTAAAGAACAAAAAAAGGGAAAAAAATCCCCCCCCCCCCAATTTTTTGAACCCCCTTATGATTCATCACCCCAAACTCAATCCCAGCCTTCCCTTTGTGGTATGGTACCTTGCAGTACAATTTCAGAGAGATCCATACACTTGAACACAAGTTATTGTCTGGAAACTAGAAAAATGTGTTTTTTGGCCCCTTTTTGGCCCCAAATTCCTAAACGTTTAGGGCAATTACCCCCAAACTCAAACCAAGCTTTCTCTTTGTGATATGGAACCTTGTAGTACAATTTCAGAAAGATCCATACACTTACACACAAGTTATTGTCCTGAAACTAGAAAAATGCTTGTTTTTTGCCACCTTTTTTTGCCCCTAATTTCTAAAATATTGAGGCAATTACCCCCATCATCAATCCCAGCCTTCCCTTTGTGGTATGGTACCTTGCAGTACAATTTCAGAGAGATCCATACACTTGAACACAAGTTATTGTCTGGAAACTAGAAAAATGTGTTTTTTGGCCCCTTTTTGGCCCCAAATTCCTAAACGTTTCGGGCAATTACCCCCAAACTCAATTCCAGCTTTCCCTTTGTGATATGGAACCTTGTAGTACAATTTCAGAAATATCCAAACACTTACACACAAGTTATTGTCATGAAACTAGAAAAATGCTTGTTTTTTGCTCCTTTTTTTGCCCCTTATTCCTAAAATTTTGAGGCAATTACCCCCAAAATCAATTCCAGCCTTCCCTTTGTGATATGGAACCTTGTGGTACAATGTCAGAGAGATCCATACACTTACACACAAGTTATTGTCTGGAAGTTACAAAAATGCTTATTTTTGGCCCCTAATTCCTTCATTGTTGGTACCATAACCCCCAAAATCAATCCCAACCTTCCTTTTTTGGTATTGAACCTTATGGTAAAATTTCATAGAGATCCATTCACTTAAACTAAATTTATAGTGCGAAAACTAATGTGTCTTCGGACGACGACGCCAACGTCATACCAATATACGACCGTAAAATGTCGTATAAAAACCCAGAGACTATTGTAATTTTTACAATACTGATTTGGAGTCCTCAATGACTAAAATGTATTTGCTCCAGCTAACAATGCATTTGACAACTTACCTACACATACATCATATGCTACACCACACACATACACATCTGTAACTTTGTGTTTTGACAATATTTTGACCAGATCTGTTTGGGATTGCCTATTGTTGTCCCAGAATGCTGAGTAACTATCCACATTGGGATGTGTTCCTTTGTTCACTATGATACCACCATCTGTGTTCTAGATGAAAAACAATAAACATTTTAAAAATGCACAATAAAAGAACTTAATCCACAGATGATCATATATACTTGTCTCAATATTTATTATAACCATGTCAAATAGAAACAAACTAACACTTTGGTGGATAGTTGTCTCATTGGCAATCATACCACATCTCCTCATTTTTATATTAAAATTAGTACCTCCCTTTTATCACATTGCTAATTCAATGATAATAAGAACTGTAAAAGGTTAAGTTTTAGAGTTTAAATTTTTACAATTTCTTGGACCCAATCTGTATGTAATGTTTCATTTTCTCTTTTTCTTGTCCATGATTCTTAACCCTAAATTTAAATAAGAATTCTAAAAACATTTGTTTTGGGTATAATAGCATTTTTAAATGCTGGGAATAAGAGATTCACATTTTTTGGCCAAACTATCAGGAAGACCTGTGTCATCTGTCACCTCCATTTAGTGAAGTCCATGCTACTCTGATCCTAATCAAAATAGCAGGTGCACAATTCCATGACCTAAAGAAGAGTCTGTGCACATTTAATTATAATTTAATTGTACAGTTCAGATAACTGGCACCTAATTTGCTTCTAACTTTTATAAACTTGATTTGTCTTATGATTGAATTATGGTAAGCTGTTTTCAAGAAGTTGCAGATTAATGAGATGTGACCTAAACACTGACCATCCCCAAAAAGCAAGAAATTACTTTTTGTCTCCTTAACAATCTTTGTCAAGCTACACAATAATTAATGTCTACAGGGTTCAAAACTTTGATTCAGTGGTGAGTGGAGGGCTTTGTGCCATTTAACTATTTACAAGTCAGAAATAGGCAGTTTGATATTTTTAAACTGTGTATTACAGACAAAAATAAATATTCCATTTGAAGATTGAAATAGACAAAAGTGGAATGGTAATTCCATGGGTACCAATTTTCGGGTTGAGAAAAAAATTGCAAAAACTCACTTTTTTGTTGATTTTTTTTATTACCTTAGTCAGTAACTTGATGGGTAAAATTCATTTTTTGAAAAAAACTCAAAATTTTGTTTTCCATTTTGATCTTATGAAAGTAACTAATAACTTTGTATTTTCCTTGTATTCAGTGTCAAAATTTCTGTTTGCAATTCAGAACTATTTTGTTAAAATGACTAATGGAGAGTAAGAAGTGAAGATTTTATTTTTGGACTTGGGTCGTGGCTCAGTTATGATTGTATGTGCATTTGATATATGCAAAATTACTAGAGGGCATGTTGGTTGTGGGGGAGGGGAACTTTGGAAGTCCCTTCCTACCCTCCCACAACCATTATAATGGACAAGCCCTCACAAAATATAATTAAATAGCATCGTTTTAATAAAAATGTCTAAGTATCTGTATTTTACATCATTGATTTTTACCTTCAATTCTGTATGTAACTCTGATCCCCATGAACCCTGAATACAATGTGATGGCCAGAGCTTCTGTACAGTTGGGGGTGGACCTTCAAATATCACAGTATCCATAGCTTTGGCCTCTGAACACAAGATCTGTAAATAAAATAAACTTTTTAAACATAAAATAAAGATATTAGTATCATATTACTCAAAACTATTTCAGATTGTAAAGCTGCAAATAAGAAACAATATAAAAGTGTTTCCCACCACTAGTAATTGAATTCAAATATAATGTAACTTATACTGAAATTCAAATATTCACAGGGACTTAACTTAACAGTCTGCAAAGCCGACTAGAATTTCGGCTGGACGAACATATTTAATCACTTGATCACCCAGCTGGCGTCTGTAAAATATTTTGCAGTGAATCCCATTTCTACCCTTTCCACAAATGGAAACCTGATTGTCTAATCAAAGCGGTTTAATAAAAGAAAGAATTTTTGGAAACCATTTTAATATCCAAAACCAAAATCAGACAACTAAGTTTTCGATGCGAAGTCACGATTTGAAATATACCCCTTCTCAAAACATGTGTTCTTATCTCTCTTTTAAAGCTTCTACGAATATTTCATTATTGTTTAGTGAATTTTGTCTAAACTGTTGAATTTGCATTGCTTCAGAGATGCATTCCAGTTGTCCAGGGAGTCATTACAGGTCCGTATTTGATGACAACTTGTCCACCCATTGCTATTTACAAAATCTTTAATTAAAATAAGAAATGCAAAATCTCATAAATAAATATAAAAGTATCTAGTTTGCTATCCAATCTTCTATAAAAAGTAATTGAATAATATTTTTGATCAACACTATCAAGGATAACTTGGATTTGAAATAGCATTTAATGATTCATAGAAACAGCCATAGTGTCAAAATGTCAACAAGAAGTTCAAATTAAAGGGAGATAATTTTGCTGGAAAATGTACTAAAATCAGTATTGTCAAATCTTGTCATGCTTGTGATATATTTCTAGCGCAAATATTATAAAGTTATCACACATATTCTTTATCAGACTCAAAAGCTACATATAGGAGGATTACCTAAAAGGGCTTTTTGAGTATATGAAAAGTACATTTAAGTTTTATTTTATTAGTATAAAAATTGGTTTGGTCCCTAAAATTTCAACTGGGCCACTGAAAAAAATATTTTGGGGCCCAGCTGGCCCCTGGAGAAAAAAAGTTAAGTTTAGTCCCTGTATTCATATATACATCAGTTGTTAAGTTTTATTTGACCTTCTGGATGAATACAAACTTTTAACTAAGCTACAGTAATTGGTATCAATTTCATGTCGAACCAAAACATCTAGTACCAACTTATTTTTTGGAGCTTTCTCCTCAATATCTTACCTTATTAGTTGAGTGTAGTTTTCGTTTATCTATATTGTCTATAAATGATATATGATTTGATGGATGCCAGTCTCTTGTATACACAACCAGGTCAAAGTTGACGGTGTCAAGGACGGAATTAATAGCTGGAATGACACCAAGGCCATCTTGACCAGCAGGACAGTTACGAAGGGCAAGGCTACCATCTAAAAAATCATTCTGCACATCCACCACTATCAGAGCAGAGACTGGCTGTAATATCTGAGTAGAGAAAAAAATATATATTATCTTAATATTATCGTCTTTTTAAATTAAATGATTGCAGCTATTTGTGATGTTCATTGCGGCAACTGGTAATTTGTTGTTTTGATTTTTTTTCTTGTGTAATTGCTTTTGAGGGGTTTATTTTTGCCTTTTCTTTATTTTCACATTTGTGTATTTGTTTAAGGCCATGCAAAAATAATTGTTGGTTTCCCCAAACCCTGCCGGGTCAGTTTTAACACTCCGGGTCAATCTCTGTTAACAATTTAAACCCATATACCTACATTATTTTATGTGACTTTGATTTATTTTAAAATTAATGCTGTTATCTTCAGCTTTGCAACTAACAGCAGGGTCACAAGTATATTTTACTAGAATTGTTTCAATAAATATATATTTGGAGAATTATCTGTAAACTATGATTTCCACCTGCAACCTTCAGTCTGCACCAAAATCTTTTCCAACTATTAGTCCAAAGATTAATATTCTGACATTTTTCTTATGTGTCTAAACAAAGTTTTGCAAATACTTGCTAGTCCGTATACAATTTTACTAGTATGGGGCATCGAACAAGTGGCTAACTGTGCAGACTGCACCTTCAATATATATTCTAGATCTTACATGTATTTTTTGCCTTTACCTGTTTCAACCAATAAAAGCATGTTTCCAGAAAATCTTTTTTACTTAATCTGTCATCCTGTAATAAAAGAAGAACATCGTTATACCATTAATTATAGTGTGATTAAAGTATGGTTAACCATCAACACATATAACACACCTATAAAGTCCATTATTTATACTCTAAGCATTATTATTATCCAGCTTAAAATCATAAATCTTCATTATTACTTGTAATAAAAAAGTGATATAAACATGTAATTTCTTAAAGAAGCAGATTAACAAGCAAGAACCACTATCTATATTTTAAACCAAGTTTGAAGTCTGAACTGATCAAAGCTGTCTAATTCCAGATTGATTGAGTGTGTCTCAGTAGCTCAAATATGGCTGTCAGATGTCAGAGCAATCTCGGATTATGCTCATCTTATCTGAAACACATTAAGAATCACCCATAGAACTTAAATATGTTTTGTTTTATGTGTTATTAAGTGGTTGCTCCTTGATGTATATTTATCAAACATCTACTTTTACTATTAATACATAATCCAGTAATCTGGTGACGTATGTTCGGAGTTTAAATTGTAAGATCATTGACAAACTATGAATATTCACAGAGATTTGACAGTAAAAAGATAGTATAATTCCAATTTAGTACAAAAAAAACCAAAATTTGCATATTTTCACACAAATTTGTGAGTGGGAAATATTGAGCACAAATATAGATATGCACACATTGTGGTAAATTATTTTGTTGATTGCGTGAACGTGAACCCCCTGAGGAGTTCACGCTTATATATTGGCGAGTTTTGGATGTGTCTATGGGCCACTCGATATCTCTCATTTTTGCATATGCCCTATTTTTATATAATATATGGCTCCAAAATCTATCAGAAAATTGACCCATTTTTCATGAAAATGCATAGATTTACCTTTTCCTTTAACTGAAAATTTAGAAAAATACAATGCATCATCAACTTAATTATTCAAGTGCTGGTGCACTCCCTTTAGGAAACCTTAAGGACTGCCAGTGAACTAGCAGTAGCATCAATGTATAAATGGGAGTGTCCGCCCCACCTAATAAATAAGTATGCTACTGATTTCAATATGCATGACACATCCACACTAAATGTCATAAGTTGGTGAATCAACATACAGAAAACATTAAAAAACATTAAAACAAAAAAGTTTCTAATAAAATCTATCAGGACAGAAAGACCACTGAGTACTAAGCCGTTAATTACTGAAATGAAATGCTTTCCACAAAAAATGGATTTGTTTAGAATCGGGGTTGATCATTTTACATAAATGTGCAAGTTTAAACATGAATTTATTAATCAGATATCATGATAAAAAAGATTACTTAAAGGAAATTATGTTACAACAATTTTAAGACTTAATTGCATGTTTGCAAGAATGGATCAATAAGTTACAAAAAGAACTATTTATGGTTATAAAAAAATCATCTTTGACTACAGATTACATTGTTTTCATGAAGATATTTTAAATATTGAACCATTGAAATTATATCCAACCTTTTACAGCACAGAGAACATTTAATGTTATAAATCAATTAAACAATGTTTATTTTATAGTGAATTAAAAAGCTATACTTTGTAACAGTTTCAACATGAAATTTTCATTTTCAAAAATTAAATCTCTTTTTTTCTTTTCTCTTTGATTCTGTATAACATTTTTTTGCCAGTGTTGAAATCACATCTAGAATTCTTTCATCTTATCATTAATTAAAACAGGTAGAAAACATTCGCTAATGACCTGATTTAATTAATCTGCTTTAATGAACATGAAATAGATCAATAAAATCTACTCTTCTGAAAAAGAATATAACAAGTTAGTACATAAAACATGTTGTGTAAAATGATTGGCCATTATCGATTGTATAATCAAATTCTACATAAAACTAGCATTAGACAATCAAATTCTAAATTTATATCAAAAGCAATTGATGACACTTCAACACGCTGAAGCCTGTTTTTAAGAATTTGCCTGACGCACTACATTTAACCACCATCTTCCGTTGTATAGAAGAAATGAGATATAATTAGTCTTAAGATCCTTATTTTTCTGATGTATAATAATTGCCTTCTATTTTTCTATTTGCACATTGTTTTTTTTGTGTGTGTATAGAAACATGTTTAGTTAAATAAAATGTAATAATAATATCTTTGAGTCTATTTTCAATGTTTTCAACAGGTATTTCAAACTATATCATATGAAAAGATATACATGTATATCCAAATCAACCTCTTAAACTTCAACAAGTTTGTGTAAATAATGTTGAGGGACCTTGGTGACCAAATGATTTTGGTAGTTGGTGGACGCTTCAAATATAGATCACTTCAGAATGTCATTACGGTTACGACTGTCAGTCACTTGCAAAGGTGTGCTAGACTATGATCTCCTATCATTAACATGATTAAATAAGTTAGTAAGTTACTCAATCGTATTTATAAGTCCAATTGTTTTCCAAGTAAACAAAATGAAATGGAAAATATGTATACAAAGTGGCATTAAACTGGTTCAAATCTATCACACCATCACCACTACAAAAAAGGTGCTTTTCTTCCTTCATAAACTTCTCTGGACATTTGTAAATCTTTATCAATATTTGATGGTCAAAGCCCTTATTAAATATTTAATTGCTGGTCAATGTTTATTGATATGAAATTAATCAGAAAATTTAAACTTTGACATTTTAAACATCAATGCCAACACTACTACAAAGCTGGTACTTAGAACCATATTTACTTTCAAACAAGACAACTTTCCTTTGATATGACATCAATACTAAATATTAAGGCCCAATATGATACTATTATTAGGTCCGGAGACCTTGGACTAGTATTTAACAGTCTGATAACACTATCCAATTATAACATCTCTGTATATACCCCCTGTAATAGGAATAAAACTAATGTTCTGACACTGCAATCGATAAAATTGTAAATGAAGTTGATGACTTTTCCAATACACAGGTAACAAACACTGTCAGGCTAATTTTCTTACTAAGTAAGCACAGCTTCTAGTTCATGTACATAGAAATATTCTGTATCATTAATCACAACATATCTGGTGATATTTTTATTTCGAATATATAATGACTTTATAGAGATGTAATATACAACTGTCAAGAAATGTCATCATTGCGTATGATCAAGGTACATTACTTTTGATTTGTTGTAAAAGCAATCATGGTACTTTTGGTTTGTTGAATTACTAGTATCATATTTTTCCATACTTGGTGTATGACAGGGTTTACATACATGTATTATAAATTCTTTAGTCTTAATTTTATCTACTGAACAACAAAACCCCTGGAGGCTATATATTTGCTTCTTAGTTTACTAGCTATCAAACTTTAACCATTATAATGTGGATACATTATTATTCATGGGGTACTAATTCAGCATTGGACATTTGAGTGAATTGGCAGGACATTTCAGTGAAAAAAAAGGACGTTGGGCGCCAAAGGATAGGACATTTGAGCGCTGAAATTTTTGGACATTTGACGAAAAAATAAAAATAAGCATAGGACATTTAAGCGAAAAAAAATTAAGAATGGTGAAGAACCTCTTCCATTTGCAAGATATAATCTGTTACCCCTGCTCACCAAGGGGAGGATGCAGTAGGATTTCGAGCAGGATATAGTCAATAAAATGTGGAGTTTATACTGCACAAAGTTTAAAACATCTTTTAAGTGTAAAAAAACAAAGCACTATCATAAAAACTTAAAACTCAGCAATGGCATTATTTACAAGTCAGTTCGGGCTTGAAATTTATATCCTAGGCTTCTGACATAAAAAAAAATCCCTCGTTATTTCCTGCTGTCAGTACAAGGTATGCAAATCCATGAGATTCTGGTCCATTGTGTGTACATTTTGACCTCTCCTTTTAGTGTTTTGTACCACTCTATATCGGAAACTGTCACAAACAAGGCTCTTTTTTCATTTATTAGTCTCGATCAAAATTATATCAATTTTAGCATGTACATGACTTTTTGTATTAGTATTAAGATCTCAAGTGCCAAGAATCGACATTTCACTTTACAAATACAAGAAATTTAGCACATAGAAAATTTGCACAGCAAATGAATTATAGTAGAATTGATTGGTAGAGATCAAATTAGGACTACACTACCATTAACTTGCCAGAACTGGTTGAATTACTCGTGTGTAAAATCAAATAAAATATATTCATTTTAAAAACTTACTCTTTTTTTCTTACTTTTTAAAAATATTTTCTTAATTCATATACAAGTATCACAGAATATTTCGCTCAAACATCCTTTTTGAAAATACAGGTGAGGTTGATATTCCAGCGCTCAAATGACCCTATGTACATTTTTTATTTTCGCTCAAATGTCCTATGCCCGTACTAATTTGCATGGATTTTGTGGGTAAAGGTTAAAAATGAATCAAAGTGTGTTAACAACATTTAACTTTTCATACCCCTGTTTGCAGGAAACCAAGTTTCACTACAAATACAATTTTCCTTACTCCAAGAAGATTGGTCCAGAGGAAAATAAATCACCCCTCATAATTCAAAGTATAAGAAAACAAGAAAAAGTTGTCTGAAAGATCCCAAAAGTGCTCACATGTTAAAACTTATCCTTTCCATGATTCTGACCAAATATGAAGTCATTTTGTTCTGTAGTATTGGAGAAATGTATGATGAAAATTTTAATGTTAATTCAATATGTATACATGTAGTGAAAGATTCAAAGTATTGACAAACGAAAAGATTTCTGACAGATCTGGGAATTTCTCCCACGTTACAACTCATTACTCATGTTACTGTTGAGCTGCTGACTAAATATAAAATCATTCTGTCTAGTAGTACCTTGGAAAAGAGTGGTTAACAGACAAAAGGAAGGGTGAATGCAATATAACCCCCACATGGATTATGAAACTCCAATAGTAATAACAATAAAACCATCAAGTAAAGAATCTAAATAACCAATACATTATCACTGGTCCCTTAACTTTTATTTAGAGACTATGGTTTGAGCCAGTTACATATCAGTCATTCCAAAGGTTGCTGGACATTAGGCAAAGTCCAGTAAAAATTGGTTTGGTCCAGTTAAGTGATATGCATTACTGAACAAAATGACCAGGAAAATTTTTAATTTTGTCCAAATGTCCAATAAATGTCCTGTAAAAAAGAGTCTGGTCCAGTTAAGAAGAATGGTTGACTGGACCAAGTATCCATTTCTCAAAGCCTTTAAGAACCACTGACATTTTTAAAAGCAACTTATTCAGTGGATTCATTTATTTTTGTTGGTATCAATTTCTGTGGTTTGATATCTTAAGGCTACCTAATTTAGGGGTTTCATCATTAGATGCCAACCAAGTTACTAAAAACCGTGCACTTGATCAAGTATCTAAATTGTGTTTTTCCAATATTCATGAAATTTACGAAAATTGGTACTGTAAAGTTAGAAATAATTGCAAGGTTATTATTAAGGCGAATTATGCAACTTGGTGATTATCGCCATGATAAGAACTCGCATTCTGGTAACTGATACATATATCTGTATGCAGATTTTCCTGAAATCGCAATAAATAATTTCACATTTTTGTCTATTCTCATAAATTGCAATAACTAGATATCATTGAGATGGGAGCCATCTCTGTGGGCCCCGCTGTGAATAATGTGCGTTAAAAAATTTGTATCTTTACCATAGGACATGGGGTTGTCAACTGAAACCAAAGTTTTTGACCTTGAACTTTGACATAGGAAGTTGTACATAAATTATGACACACTCTTTAGTGTTGGTTAATATACATGTCAAGTATAAACTTTGAAATCTTAATGGTTCTCAAGATATAGAGCAGACACAATCTTTACCATAGGACATGGGGTTGTCAACTGAAACCAAAGTTTTTGACCTTGAACTTTGACCTAGGAAGTTGTTCATGATTTATGACACACCGTCTGGTGTTGGTTTATATAGATGTCAAGTATAAACTTTGAAATCATAACGGTTCTAAAGATATAGACAGATACGATCTTTACCATAGGACATGGGGTTGTCAACTGAAACCAAAGTTTTTGACCTTGACCTTTGACCTAGGAAGTTGTACATACATTATGACACACCCTCTGGTGTTGGTTAATATACATGTCAGGTATAAACTTTGAAATCATAACGGTTCTCAAGATATAGAGCGGACATGATCTTTACCATAGGACATGGGGTTCTCAACTGAAACCAAAGTTTTTGACCTTGACCTTTGACCTAGGAATTTGTACATACATTATGACAGACCCTCTGGTGTTGGTTAATATACATGTCAAGTATAAGCTTTGAAATCATAACGGTTCTCTAGAGTGGACACAATTTGTTACGGACGGACAGACAGAGGGACTGACAGACTGATCACTATAGGGCGTCCGCCATTCGGCGGGGCCCTAATAAATGCCACTGAATTTACAGTATCCCATGAAAACAAATGAACCAAATTATACAAAAATATCAATTTTGTGCTCTGGTTAATAACTTCAATAGTTTAATTTTGCAAACAGGGCAAATATCTAAAGTATTATACAATTACTGTATTATCCTTTACTGATATATCTAAAATACCTTTAAAAAATGTTGTAGCTGGGCCCAATGTGTATATATATACATATATTGATTGATAAATTGTTGGTGTTTTATGTCAGTTTCAACACTATTGGTTATCTGATGGAGGCCAGTCTTTGGTGGTGATGGAAGCCAGAGTGCTAAGAGAGAACCACTGATAATTCGCCAGGAAAACTGGTAATCCTAGTCAATTAAGATCATAGTCCAATGTCTGTCATGTCTGTGCTATTTAAAATGTTTGATCAGTTATTGAGTTTGATTAGAGCTTATCACATCAATTCCTATTTAATAGTTGTACCTAACATGCCTAGAGATATAGCCTGTTAAAGACCAAGAAAAACATTCCAAACTATACGATCAATATATTATTAGCTTTTCTTTATCAAATAATTATGAAGTTAATGTAAAGAAAACAAGATAATAGGAACATTGTTACTTTGCTGCAGGTGGTTACATCAAGTGTGTGCAGGAATTTTGTGTAATGAAATGAGAAGTTTATCTTTTCACTGGATATTCGTATCAAAATTTTCTTTTGAGTATTGACAGTACACAGTTTAGCCAAATTATCTCTGAAAACGTTTTCTGTTGATCACAAAAAGTTAGGGTAGCATAGAAACATAGGTGAAAGTTCATTTGTACAGAAAGTGCCGAAATTGGGAAGTTAGAGAAAAAATCATTATTCAATAAGATATGTAGAGACAATAAATGTCCAAATTCTGAAATCAGGCCAACTTCTAATAAACTGCTTCGCTGAGCGCAGCTGGATACGCCCGCAGAGGTCCAACCCTGAACAGTTGGGGCAAAAATGGACACAATATTCAAGCTTGATACAGGTCTGAATTTGGATTGTAATTAAATATTTGACATATTACAGGTTTCTAAATAAATGAAGTCAAAGAACTTGAAATTGGTTATATGAATTGAATTTAAAATCAATTATAGATTTCTTGCTGTTGTGCAATACACTGTGCTGTTGCGCAATACTTAGTAAATCTGTTGTCAGACTATAAACAAATGAAGTTCAATTAATTCTCAATGTCATATTAGAAATTTATGAAAATCAAAAGGGAGCTTACATCAATAGATATTAACAATTCACCAAAGTTTCATGAGAATTGCTGACAGCATTTTTGAGTTATTGTCTGAAAACTGGAAAATCCCCCCTTTTTTAATGAATAAAACCCCATAACTCAGAAATATAAAATGTTAAATTTATAAAATTCTAAAGGGAGCTTACTTAAATAGATATAAACAATTCACCATAGTTTCATAAGAACTGCTGAAAGCATTTTTGAGTTTTTGTCAGAAAACTGGTAAATCACCCTTTTTTATGAATAAAACCCTGTAACTTGGAAACGTACAATCTAAAATTTATAAAAATCAAAAGGGAGCTCATGTCAATAGATATAAACAATTCACCACAATTTCTTGCAAGTTGGTGAAAGCATTCTTGAGTTAGTGTCCGAAAACTGGAAAATCCCCCTTTTTTTAATGAATAAAACCCCATAACTCAGAAACGTAAAATTCAAAATTTATAAAAAACGAAAGGGAGCTCACGTCAATAGATATAAACAATTCACCAAAGTTTTATGCAAATTGGTTAAAGCGTTTTTGAGTTAATGTTGGACATGTTGACAACGGACGGACAGACGGACGGACGGACAGAGGTATACCATAATACGTCCCGTAAACGGGCGTATAAAAACGTATGCATGTACATGATGTAGTAAAATTAAATATCTTCATCTAAAATTAAGACGAGAGTGCACATGTTGAAGTGTCTTGCTATGATTGAATTTACAATACATGTATATTGAAAGTCTGTAATATGAAGATTTTATCACATAAACTTAACATAATCAATGATCCATGTAAAAGAGTTCAAGGTCAGATGAACCCTGGCACACAGACATGTACATTTTATAATCATTACATACCCCAAATATATATAGTAAACCTATTGCTTACACTCTGAGAAACAGACCTAATTACAAAAACTAAACATTGCCCAATGTTCCATAAAAATGAGGTCAAGGTCAGATGAACTTTGTTAAGAAAACATGTACACCATGCAATCATTCCATACACCAAATATGGATGACCTATTGCTTAAATAGTATCTGATAAATGGACGAAAATTATAAAAGCTAAACATTGACCAATGAACCATGAAAATGAGGTCAAATTCAATGAGAAGGAATATAAGAAAAATAATGAGAGTGTTATATTTCAATACTGTGGATTCATTATAATTAATCCTGGAATATAAATTTTCCTGGTCAGTGGATTTTGTGGGTATAGGTTAATCACAAATTTCACTGTTTGACGAAGTTCACATTTTCTATTGGTTTGTATTCAGACTCTGGCAAAACCATGAAATCAAAGTATCCACAACAAGAATGTGTCCATAGTACACAGATGCCCCACTCGCACTATCATTTTCTATGTTCAGTGGACCGTGAAATTGGGGGTCAAAACTCTTAATTTGGCATTAAAATTAGAAAGATCATATCATAGGGAACATGTGTACTAAGTTTCAAGTTGATGGGACTTCAACTTCATCAAAAACTACCTTGACCAAATACTTTAACCTGAAGCGGGACAGACAGATGGACATGAAAATAATCATCTTTATGTCAAAATTTATAAATATACAATACCTGATCTTGATCTAGTAGTTTTAACAGTTCAGCCTTGTAGTCAGAATTAATGGTGTAGGATTCTGTGCCATCAGAGAAAACTGCTGACAAAAGATTATCTAATTCCTTTCCATCTAAATACCCATCTCTGAAAATAAAGATATAAAATGAAGAAAACTCAAACTCAATAAAAGTATTTCTTTCAATGTACCATAATAGAAAAGAAAGAATATTGGGTATCTATCCATGCCACTGTATTTCTTCAACACCTAATAGGGAAATTAGTTATGGTTCAAGTTGCCAAAGAAATAAAAGCTGAACTGTATTATTTTGAGCTGATGTAAGTCTTGTTACAAGTGAAATCATAGAGATGTTAACCAATTTTCTTGCAAGTGGTCATCTCTATTTTCATTTTATGAAGCAGTTGCTATATCAGAAATTGAAACAAACAGGTTGAACTGTTGCTATTGCTCACTAATGATACCCTGCTATAAGTTTTCTGTTTACATTCTTTTTGTCAATTTTTGTAAGAAAGTTATAAATAGGAAGAAGACCCAAGAACCTGTATCCGACACCTTTAATATACATGTATAGTCATCAATTTCTTGAAATTCAGACCATAGATGTATCAACCCAGGGGTTTATACATCTATGTTCAGACTAAATCATTAAATCATCAAAAATTGCTAAAACTCGAAAAGTTCAATCATTATTGTGCAGCCAGACAAAAACTGTCTTCTCTGTAAAATGTGGAAGTGTGTTACTGTCCATCAGTTACAATTGTTTAATTTTTTTCAATAAATTAGATTTTCAGAAGATATAAATATTTAAAGTAGCTGTTCTTTTCCAAGTAAGAAATCTCAGATTTGCTCTTGTTTTTAAACATATTACAACTGATCCTACCTGTTTTCATCAAATAAGTGGAAACACCAAGCACATTGCTGTGGATCAAATATTTTCTGTTTTGCCTTGAAACTGTTTATGAAATCATTTTGTGTCTTCACTAGATCCATTTTAAATTTTATGTGTTGCAATACATGTGTAGTTAATACAACAGGATTAATATACTTCTAGTTTTACATTTTTGTACTTTGATATAAGAAGTTAATCCTACTATCATGACTAATATGTGTTATTATAAGGTTTTGTTAAAAGATTTAACCAGAAAATTACATGATTGTTGTCAAACTTTGGACTAGAAAATTAATGATGACCCATATCTAATCTAACACCAGCTAATGACTTCATATATATAAACATGTAAACTGCACATGACAATGAATTTTCTTCGAAAAAATGTTTAGAGTTATAAATTACACATCTACTTAAATTTAAGGAAATGAATTTTAATAGTCAAACTTCAATCCGAATCTTGACTTAAATAGTCCATACTTGTAATTTTTGTTTTTTTGTTTGTAGAGGAGGGGGGGGGGGGGGGGGGGGTTTGTCCTATTTAACCTTCCCCTTGCTTTGGGCACGTGCTGAAGAGCTACAATGTACTCAACTGTCCTAAGGACTGACTGCTTTTAAAATACAGTTGTACCTCTATAGTTTCTGACTACCAGAACTTAAGATCAATTGGCTATCAGATCAAATCTGAATTTTATATATACAATTGTAGGTTAATTAATAAAACATAATTTATCATGAAAGCTATGCAAAAGTTTAAACGGATAGATAAAGCCAAATGAATTTGACTGGAAAAGACAGACATGTTCAATTTTTTTAATTTTTTTTCACAATACTTGAAGTCTTCAATAGCAATTATAACTATCATTGAAATTTAAATTTTATGCATATATGTACACATTGGGAAATTTTTGCTAAATTCTTGAGGCAAAATTCCACTAGATGACTAGGTTTCAACAACTTTCACAATTTAATCCTATGAAGGAGTGAAACATAATAGGGGGAGATAGTCAAACACCTTTATAATTATATATATTATTAATAATAAAACTCCTTATCAGAAAGTGAAATCACCATGCTGAAGTTCATTTTCATAGGGTTTTCTTAATGAAAATCTGGTCATTAATTTTGGGTAGTATGGCAGACTGGAGGAGCAGACTGGAGGGGCGGCCTGGGTATTGTTTGGTATCAGCTGTTTCTGTTCAATAACTCGAGAACCACTTAAACATATTTTTTTTTAATTTCAATATTCAAGATATTGGACAAAAGGATTACCTAGTTCAAGCTTGATTTTGACAATTTATCCAGTTTGCTGTAGTTCAGCAGTCTGTTGTTTTAAATGAATTGATAAAGTTGGCAGACTGTTGTTTTAAATGAATTGATAAAAGATGTAAGTATGATTAGTAATCAATGCTAATTTTCGTAAATCATGTAAAAGATTAGAGAAATGTTTTCTAACATATATATATAAGATTAATAACATTTAATTTAAAAAGCTTAGAAATATAAGTTTTTGTTAGGTACTGATTGGAAGTTGTAGTACAGGCTGACTCATCTCCTTAGACATCTTAACAATTTATAGAATAGATATTTTCATATGCAAATGCATGAAACTATGGCACAATATGACTTGAAACACAAGCCCTGGCCATGGAATAGTGTATCTTCTAAGTGATATACATTTTTATACAGGTGATGCTGGAATGTAACTTATTGTGGTGATACATTGTACATTAAAATTCAAAGTTTCACAATAGGGAAATTAAAATTATCTCTTTTTTTTGCCTTTTGTCTTCAAAATTCTCAACTGAACATATTAAATTGTAGGTTTACATGTAGGTGAAAACATGCTTTCAAACAGTCCTAAATACTAAACTTCATCTGTGGCATTCTTTATTTAAAGTTCAGTGGGATCATCATACAGTGGATTAATTTATTTTCTTGGGTAACAATTTTTGTGGATATTTGATTTCATGGTTTTGCTAGTCTGTAAAATCTTAAGCCTATAGAAAATGTGTACCTCCTTGAACATTTAAATTTGTAGTGCACCTTTACTAATGAAATCCATGAAAATTTGTGTCCATCAAATAATAATGAATTCACAGTATTTTCAAAACATTGAGATATTCAGTAAGAGGCAATCACCTGCAGTATATAATGGAACATGAAATTAAATTCAGTGTTTAAAAGTCTCCCTCTTATCAAATGTCGGTGAATGTAAAAAGTTACTAATGATTTATATAAATACCATGTTGTCCTGTCATTCCACCCATCTAAGGCCTTTTATCAACTATTTACAGTTCTTTTGTCAAAAGTTAATTGTATTGTGTACTTATAATGGCTTGATTGAAGCCTCAGTCGATGGAAATCATAATATTTTAATCAAATATAAACAAACACAATAAAAAAATCCTGAAAACATATTGGATATTTCAATAGAACTTTAATAAATGGGGAATGTGTCCATGGGACACAGATGATGCCCCCGCTTGCATATAACGTTATAAAGGGACAAAACTCAAGAACTGTAAAAGTGACGCTACCCAAATTTAAACTTGATCTGAGTTTTGTGCTAATAAGCATTATTTATAAGTTTCATAACATTTAGTTGAGTCAAACTTAAGTTAGAGAACGGAAACAAAAAAATCAGCAATTTTTCCATTTTGTAAAGGGGCATAAGTCGCATAACTCTAGAACGGTAAAAGTGACACCACCAAAATTCGAACCTGATCTGTGTTTTGAGGTAATTAGCATTGTGTAAAGTTTCATAACATTTGGTTGAGGCAAATAAAAAAATTGGAGAACAGAAACCAATTTAGGGACGTACGTACGTACAGACGGACAAGGGTAAAACTTAATGCCCCCTCCGCTATGGCGGGGGCATAATTAAAAAATATTCAGCTAAAAATAATTTCTCATGTAAAATTTGTGTATAATGTCCATGCCAATTTGATGGATTTTTTGGAGCTAACTTATTATTATTATGATTATAGTTTTTGGTGTGTAAATTACAACAGAAAATGTATGACAAATTAAACACATGAAACTAGAAAAAATTTTAATGAATTCAAATGTTACATGTACAAAAAACCTAAATGTCACTAAAAGGCCTCAGCAAAACTCAACCTTTTTTGTAATAAAAATTAAATAGGTCAATATTTGAAGAGTGCCATGTCTGTATTTTTGGTGGTTCATCTTTACATGCATCCAAATGAAAATACTATTGCCTTTTCTTTATCTTGTTGTAGATATTTATTGTAGAACAGATGCCATTTCATGCTTCATTATGAACGGTAATGGAATGTCAATGGAAGTATTTGGAGGGCAAGCTTAGCAAATAGGCTGATAGTGATAAACTGAACTAGCCAGTAATATGTAGATATAAGAAGATGTGGTATGAGTGCCAATGAGACAACTCTCCATCCAAGTCACAATTTGTAAAAGTAAACCATTATAGGTCAAAGTACGATATTCAACATGGAGCCTTGAATTGGCTCACACCGAACAGCTTATCTATATATATGTCAATTAAAATTTTCATTCGTCGTTTAATTGTAGATACATATACATGTAAGCATTGTTTGTTATGTACTCTTTTAAATATTGAGGCAAAAATATACTTTTTTAATTAATACAACATTTTTAGGATTCTTTTTTATAAAATGTCACAAACCTGTATTCAAAAATACAATATGTACATCCAATTAAGATGGAACAAAATAAAAGGGAAACAATCCTTTTTCATTCTTAATGGAATAAGGATAAAGGTTTTTTCAACTGGCTTGTGCATGTTGTGACCTAATAAGTAAGTTTGAGAAAAAAAAACAAAGCTTGTCCATTTTTTCTTTGAATTATTAATTTGTTCATATAAAAAAGATCATACATTGTAAATACTATTGGTACCAGTTAATGTAACCTATCATTTTTTCAATAGCTGAAGTGTTGCATAAAAACAACAGACTTCTGATACATGTATCTTTAGACAAATATTTTTACTTCATTTGTAAATGCTCAGTTTTGTTTAACCCTATTAAGATTGGGAAAGGCTGAATTTTCTGTAATAGAACATGCTGTTGGAAGATACACTTGAGTGGACAAATAATGTCCATGATTTTAGAAAACTAACCTTTTGGAGACAAAGCAATATCTAACCTTGCTTTAGAATATTTATTTTCTATAAAAATAATTTAATAAGGTGAATAAATATCAAAATTATAGTCTATAAGTCTTTCAATACAGTGTAAGCGGTTGATTTCGCATAGCATAAATAAGTTAACTTTCAGAGCAGGAAGTAGACCTTCCAAATTAATGGTCAGAATGGCGATATGTTTGGTTCAATTGACAAACATGCAAAGAAAATATAACATTAATGTCCCTACTAAATGTAAATTCTATCATTTAATGCCCAGATTCAAAAGTGACCGTACATCTGTAACTGGCCATTGTTCTAGTAAACCAGTTTTTTTTTTAAACAAGAACTTAAAGTCAGGGTCTATGGTGCTTACAGTGACTATCGGTAACCCTTTTTATGTTAGAATAATATTTCCCTAAAGTGTTCCTGATAAAATCTATTTGATAAAAACTGTGAATTTCTGACAGTAACTGGTCAGGACCCTCGATCTGAATTTCTGACAGTAACTGGTCCGGACCCTCGATCAGTAAAATGTTTCTAACATTTTACAGTAAAATTCAAGTAATAGCCAATTAGAAGTACAAACAGAAGTTATATAAGAATTGCCTTACATTTACAAACATTACTGCATAAACTGTTAAAAATTACCTAATTAAAAAATTCAATAAAACCAGACCAAATAACACAATATCATGAATATAGTAGAATGTCTGAATCAGAATGAAATGAACATGTTCATAATTTATGGTTCTGTATAAAATTATAAAATTTAATATAACTGATTCGCTATATACATGTAAAGTAAAGTAAAGTAAAGTAAAGTAAAGTAATCTTTATTTAAAGTCGGGATGCATATATACATAATAACAAAGAACATGAGCTCTTAAGAGCTCTTTAACCGACTGATATTAATAAACAAAACATGTAATAACATCAGATTCATATAGAACACAAACATGTGAATTTAACTGTTTGTGTGTGTATTTCCTGTTATAAGTAATTGCATAAAGTGTTGTGAGACAATACAATAATTAATGAGCCAATCTGTTCTTCACCTGTTTACCTGTTAAAGACGTGTATAAAAAAAAATAACCGGACAACCGCTAATCATGAATGTAGCTTACCTGTTTTTATCAAAAAGATTAAAACACCGTACACATTGCTGTTTATCAAAAACTTTAACTTTACAAACAAAATCATTGAAAAATTTTCTCTGTTCACCATCCATCTTCAGTGGTCTGCTGTTTGTTTACATCGATTTTTTCATGGTCTGTTTGTTAATGCGTGATTTTTAGTATTCATTGATTTTTTTCCTTTCTACCTTCAACATGTATATGAAATTGATGTCGTTAATTAAGTATCTTGGAAAAATTAAAATTTTAAAACACAAAACATCAAGAATATTCACAATCCTTGAAAACAAACAATGAAATTCAAAGGTATCTACTTATTTGCTAATCGAGCAGACGCTAAGATTTAAATTCTATACTCCTTGGACTTTTATCATCATTCCAATCGATTCCGAACTACAATGAAAAATCTAAAGATTACAAATATACTCAAATAAATGTTAGATTGCAACGGTCTACATTTAAGACCAACATTTTTTTTTATGACCTCTGACAAAATGAATGCAGGTGCGGATTCAGGCGGGGCGCACCGCACGCCCTCAGAAAAAGCCAATTTTGCGTGAAAATAGGGTCCTCTTTTTCATTTCAGGAGCGCCTTCATAATATCAAATCCTGAATCCGTGTCTGTGAATCAATGCGCACAAGTACAACTGTTGTATTTAAATTTAACGGTTTTGGATTCACTAGGATTGGCTTTTAAATTGATTTTCTTTCTGTTATGAGAACTTTTTCCTTTATAAACCTGCTACACTAGTAACTTTTTTTCAGAGAAAAAAAGATATTTGAATGTCTCATGTGATATATTTGTGTTTCCATAGTATTACGTTTTTATAAACTCTGTCATAAATAATAATAATAATAATAATAATAATAATAATAATAATAATAATAATAATAATAATAATAATAATAATAATAATAATAATAATAATAATAATAATAATAATAATAATAATAATAATAATAATAATAATAATAATAATAAATAAATAAATAAATAAATAAGCTTTATTTAGAGTCCGGCGGCATAATAAACAAGGACATAACATAAGCTCTAATGAGCCTTTGACCGACCTACAAGACATAACAATACAATACATAATACGCATGCAATAAGTTACATCACACAATTTGAAGCAATATAATTAAGCATGGTGGTAATAAGCAGATTATAAGCATGATAAGCTAGGTATTAAAGCTAAAAGCACAAAAATGTTAACTAAGCATGATTAGAAAGCTGGTAAAATATATAGCATAAATATTAAAAATAGAATATGATCTAAATGGTAAAAAATTAAACATAATATATGAATTAATAATCTGCACAAACACTCATTACCATTCCATGACTTTAATCAAATATTTTTAACCTGACTGAAATTATCAATTTTCCTAAAAATCATCATGTAGATCATTCCATAAAACAGCAGCTGTATATTTAAAAGAGTTCTTATCGTAGGTTGATGTTCGAACCCTAGGTATATCTACAATGTTAGAATATCTAAGATTATATTTACAATCTCACAAAATACCTTATGCTGGTGCTGAAAATATCCATGTATATGTGTCTTTTTGGTGCTGGTTTTACATATACAGTTCTTGTGGATAAACATTCAGAGTCATTTTGTCTCTGTTGGATAGTTGTCATATTTGCAAATACGGGGACCAATAGAGTTCAATGAATTCGTCACAGGCAAATGATACCAAATTTCCTAGGTTTTTTTTTTTATTTTCCTCCGTATGATATGAAATATGCCTTGATTGGCAAATTATCGTTTACAGATTACAGAAACACTTTTTTATATGATTACGTTATGAAAAAAGCATTATACATTAGCTACATTAACAACTGGACGTGTTATCAGGGGCGGATCCCTGATTTTAGTTTAGGGGGAGGGGGGCGCAAACTTAAATTTTCGCCGAGCGGAGCGATTCGAAAATTTTTTTGAGGTAAAATTATCGAAATATTCTTTATTAAGCTGAGGACAACCCATGCTTTGCAAATTTTAGGGGGGGCACGCCCGCCACGCCTCCGCCTGAATCCGCCCCTGGTCATATGCTGCTTTGGGTGAGCTATATTTGTAGTTAAATAGTAGGTATGTGTCATTTACCTTTAAGAATTGAGATTGTGCTAAAAAATAAAGGTGATCTTGAAGGGTTTTATTGTATAAAAAACACAGCAAGTATTCCAGGCTTATATTTTGTACGCCAGCAAAGACGTTTATTCTACAAAAGATTAATCAGTGACGTTCGAATGAAAAAAAGGTATAAGGCCCAATAAAGTACGAAGTTGAAGAGCATTGAATACCCAAAATTCCAGGAGGTTTTTCAAATACAGCTAAGGTAACCTATTCCGGGGGTAGAAAATCCTTAGAATCTTGAACAATTCAAAGTTGTGTAAACAGTTAATTTATAGATATGATCATATCAAGATAATTCATGTCAACACAGATGTGCTAAATAACTGAATTGGTGGCTAAGAACACGCTGTCGGAAACTGTGAGTACCCTCAGATCTGTACTTTGTGTCTTTTTCGTTTTTTAGGGATGTATAAATACACTGCCACGTCAAGTCTGTGTTTTTCTGCTTTGTATTTAACCCTTTTTATAGTTTGTTCTTATGTTGTACTGTTATACAACTGTCCCAGGTGAGAAGAGGGTTGGCGCCTTCAAACATGGTCAACCCCACCACATTCTATATGTGCCTGTCCCAAGTCAGGAGCCTGTAATTGAGTGGTTGTCGTTTATTATGTTGTATATAGGTTGTTCTTATGTTGTGCTGTTGCACCATTGTCCCAGGTTAGGGGAGGGTTGGCGCCTTCCAACATGTTTAACACTCTTTAAGTGCCTGTCCCAAATCAGGAGCATGTAGTTCAGTGGATGTCGTTGGTTCATGTCTGTCATATTTGTTTTTCGTAAATTGTTTTGTTATAAATTAGGCCGTTAGTTTTCTCAATTGAATTGTTTCATATTTTTCATGTCTTTAGTTTGACCAGGCCGGGGATCGAATCCACTACCTCCCGCACTCAAGACGAGCACGCTAACACGAGACCACCGATCGGTGGTAATTATGTTGTCAAGAAGACAGTTTACAGCTTAGATATTCTCATCAAACTTCCAGTACGTTGGCTGTAGTCCTTTTGCGCCAATTTTTATTTTTAAGATTTATCATTTGAGCCAAATATTTTTTTTCAAAGGTTTCAATAACGCCGAAGTACAGGTTACTGAAGGGTATTAAAATACTCATAAGTAGTGCGGAGGGATACGTTTGGGTCACCCTCTTGGGTACCGAGTTATGTAACAAGAGGTAATGAGGTAATTTTATATTATCTCCCATGGAAACTTACTAACAATGTATTGTAATTTCACATATATTTTACTGAATATAAGATGTTTTAATTCAAATGATGTCTGATTCTTATGAATATAGAAGACTTTTCGAAAGAAAAATTGTATGAAAACTAAGTTTGGACATTTTTATAGCAATTAAAAAATTACTACCATCACCTTTAGTATGACAATTACAATAAATTTTTCATACAAATTGTTAGACTGATTTTCATAATATCATTGGAGTGGAATTAAAGTCTTATAGGATTGTAAGTATGCTTTATTTTATCACCTTGCATTTTCACCACTTGACTGTGTTTTCTACAGCTGTATGTTAAAATTTCTGACCAGTTGAACAGTTTGGTTTTATAAAACAAATTGCATTTTGGTCAGAATTTTGAATAAATTGCAAAAGGTGCATGAGGAGCAACACCTACAGTCAAGTCACAGTAACAGTTATATTTGAATATATAGTTCATTACAATGTTGGAAGTTTCCACTGAAAAAAATATAAAAAAATTTAAAAAAAAGTAGAATGATTAATTTATTCAGCCAATTTTAAAGATAGAAATTTTAAAAATTATAATAACATTCATGAATTAATCCTTCTTAATAAGACATAATTGAAATCAAAACAAAGTCTGCATCTTATTACAGCAAAATTACTTTAGTGTGTAGGTAAAGGTGATATCTTTGGCTAGCTTGATTGCTAGCTGAACCGTAAAATCATTATTTGGTTAACTACCCTCCTTTAAGAGTAGACTAGTCCGACAGATAACCAATCTATCTGTAAGTAGGACTATACTACTCCGAAAGTAGGATAGTATACCTAACGGCCTAATAATGATTTCACGGTTCAGCTAGCAAGCAAGCTAGCCAAAGATATTACCTTTACCTAAACACTCAAGTCATTTTTCTGTATTTCTTGTCTTCACTAATCAGATGATCAAATAGAAGTATTTGATCATCTGATTAGTGAAGACAAGAAGTTTGTTGAGAATTTTTTATTCTTTATTCAAAATTAAAAACAATATATATTTTACTGTCAAAATGGGATACATGTATCTCAGTATTTCTGAACAAAAATTTCAATGCATTTGATGAACTCCTAAGTCATATAAAAACATTCTATTTTATATGCACTATAAAGTGATGAATACATACACATTTTCCTTTTAAGTTATATTTCATCAAACTATTTTACAAAAGGTATTTTAAATCGAAATGTAATCGAAAAGTAATCGATGATTACATCATAATTTTTGCTGTAATCGAAAATGTCTTCGATTACAGATTACTGTCGATTATTGGAAAAATGTATTCAATTATAATCGACTACTATTACAGCTTCCGATTACCCAATCCCTGAATGAAGAAGTACAGTTTATGCAAATCACAAACAATGCTCATACATAAATCACTTTATACATACGTCCTTGGTAATATAGTCTTTATACATAGACAATATTACAAAGGACGTTATTAGTTTTAAATCCTTGATATTACATAATCGCTTTTGCATACATGATTCGCCTGATAGTGCGTTGTCTTCCGATATCGTAGTAAAGCTTTTCGGGTTTTGATACCAACACAGTCATTGAAACGTTTATATGAAAGACGTTTCTGTGTTAATTTGTAATCAATGTTAATTAGTTTAGGAAGACAAACTGACAGAAAATGTTGATTAATTGATAACTACTTTCTTTGGTGTAACGTTATGGGATGACGTAAAAAGTTCACGAACTTGGAATCTTCCCAAACAGTGCAGTAGTAAAGATGCTTATGTGCACTCAAAATGAACATTGTGTTTCGACATGTATGGCCTAAAATTTTGATTCTTCCTTCTGCTAACCTCATGAGTTTCGTTGTTACCGGTATAATCATAGGAAATATTGACAATTGTAATTATCCATGATACTTGTCAGCTATGGAAGCAGAATTGATGTGTGGTGTATGTTTGGAATATTTTGACAAACCTCTAATGTTGCCATGTACCCACAATTTCTGTAAGAAATGTATAGAGGGGATACTCTCTGTGAATAGTAGACCAAACATTTATGGACAATTACCAAGACATCGTCTGAAGTTTCATTTGGATTGTCCTTTGTGTCAACGTCCTATTGAATTAGATCGTGGTGTTGAATCTTTGACAGTCAATAGAATTTTGGAAAATATCATTGCTCTTCACAGAAAAGATGAACCATTAGCATCTAATGATGCAGCATGGAAACTTGATTCTTCAGTATCTGACAGTCCCTGTCTTCTTCATAATTCTGAACCGATGTCATTGTACTGCCTGACTTGTAACAGGGCTGTGTGTAAGTCATGTGACTGTGTGACAGACAAATCATCAGGCACTATTCATAAATGTGTCCCAATCAAAGAACAAGCAGACCAATACCAGGTAATAAGATTATCATTGATAGAACAGTCTGTGTTCTCCCAAGCGATGCAAGATAATTCAGCCATACTGCAAGTATGGCCACAGTTTCAGCCATAGTTGTTTCGGCCATGCTGCCAATTCGACCATACTTTGTATAATGGTTTTTGTTGTTACAATGTATAAAGGGAGGAAAATATTATTGATTTTAGGCCAAAAATAAAATTAGAATTGTTTGTGGAGGATAGGAATGCCCTTTTCCGTCAGGCGTCAAATGGTCATTTTCGGGTACTGTTAGCGTCAAATTGGTTAAAATTTTATTGTGAGTCATCAAAATATCCTTATCGTGATTTGTCAGAGGTCTTGAATAACTAACCTTTACCATTATTACTGTAAAAACTTTAACGTGATTCGTCAAAATCAGTCAATTTTTTTATCTTCATAAACAAAGTGTACATTTTATCGTCATGCACCATAATTACCATTAATGTCATTTGGCAAGATTTTTAACTGTTTTTTTTTTTTTTAAGTTTTATTCTTGCTCTAGCATTGTTTTCTTGTCTAAACATGTAACATATGTTGTTTGCCAAAAATAAAAATCCGGACCTACCTACCCATCTGTACCCTACCCATCCGTACAACTTACAAGACATGGGTAGGCAACATCAATCAAAGAATTTGTTAAATAATGGTGGCCTTAGAAAGAGACGCAAGAAACAAATAACAAAATAACTTTTGATTATACATTTATATTATTGATAAGAATGAGTATCAATTTGTAAATCTTATAAGAATATTTGTAAAATGGAGATGAAAAATCAACTGAGTAGTAAACAGAACAAACAATGAAGTTATTTAAAAGTGAAGAAGATTGTTCTTATCATGCAGTCATTGCAAATTGTTGTGCCTTGTTTCTCATACTTATCATGCTTATGTTTGTTATGGATGGCAAATTGTTTATTTTTTTCTATTCTCTATTACCATGATTACCAAAATAAAAATTAAGTAAGCACCAATTGTGAAAGGTGAAACGTTATTAATGTCTTAATCACGTGTGACTTAAGAGTCTTGTGTCCTTTTGTTTCAGAGTACATGTAGATGCACATGTTATGACAAATTATTTTTTGTTGAGTCCTCATCCTTTTCAAAACAATCTTCTGTCAACACAATTACATTTAATGCATAGATGTATGTTAAGAAAAATATAAAAAAAGTATGGCTGAATCAACTATGGCTTTAATGACTGTGGCCGAAATGACTATGACTGAACTGGTACACTACTGTGGCCAAATGACCTATGGTCGAACTGGTTTTGTGGCTGAAATGTCTTGAAAGCCTCCCAAGGGCCTTATGCATGTACAAAATGTAGCAACATGATACATTTTTGCTATAAGTACATGTATAATAGATTTGTCTCTGACTCTTACCTGACTTAAAGGGCTGTGTGACCTATTAATATTATCATTACTCATTGTTCATCGTAGACTGAGATTACTAGGCCAATTAGATCCATTTGTAGCCACCATCATCATTGTGATTTTTCTACAAATGTACATGTACAATGTAGTTACAAAATGTGTACAGAATGTAAAGAATCAACCTACATGTACATGTACATGTACTGTCCATAATTATGACCCAAATTTGTCCAACAACGCCTTATAAAGTTGTTGCCTTTGAATGACAATTTTTAACATTTTTTGTAATTTTGATAACTATCTTAAAAACTATATATATTAAAGACAAAGAGAAACTCGATCTGTAGATAGCAAAAATGTTCTGTCATGTCTTCAGGACAAGAGCTGCAAATATTATATGAATTTTAAGTCAAAATGACCTTCATCGTCTGAGAAATTATTTGCCTCAATTGTCTCAAATGAAGATTTTTTACCCAATTTTGTGTTTTTTTTGTAAAAACTACTAGAAAACAGCTAATATAATTGATCAGCAAAATGCATTTGTAAGATCTTCAAATAACTCAACATATCTGAAAATATCAGTTTACTCCTTTTATGATGTTATAGGAATTATTGCTCTTGAATGATATTTTTACCCATGTTTTGCTCCTTTTTTTGTGGAAACCATGATACAATAGTTACAATGTAGATAATATAAAGAGAAACTCCAAAAAGCTAAATAAGTCGCATGGACAAAATCACCAGTTGATTCTAGCTCCTTTAAGGAGTAATATTGTCGCTACACTATCACTATTGATTTTAGAATTTTGACCTACATGTAAATGTATGTCTGTATCATGGATATGTATTGTTATATCACAAATCTGTAAAAGTTGGACTAATGTTTTGAATAGCAAAAATGAGCAACAACAAGATCTACATGTACAAATGATGTACACTTAGTCAATACATGCATGCATGCATGAATTGTCAATTTAACTTTTTACAGGAGTTGTTGCCCCTTAATTTTTTTCATATTTTGCTTTCATGTAAATTGTTTTGGAAATTATAATGAACAGAAATTAGATTATAACATGTGAATAAGTCAAAATAAAGCAAGACAAGAATTTAGACATTGGCAGACATACATGTACATGTACATTGTAGTTTCCATTCTTGTTGCATTGTATCAATTTTATGCAAATGCCAGGTGAGCAATACAGACTCATTGGAGTCTTAAGTATACATTTGTACCATGATGCTATATATATCAGCCTATCTGACATGTCTGAATAGATTTTATACTAACATGTAAAATGAATGTGGTACTTAATAAAATATAATTCTAGAGAAACGGTGCTATTTCAAATTCCAATGTGCTATTTGAAAAAAAAAATAAGGAGAACATTGGAACTGTTATGTAACATACATGTATATACATGTAAGAAACCAGATTATAATCCTTTGATTTGTGTCATGAAACACATATACACTATCATTTGACTATAGACATAATAGAAAGTTCAAATTAACTCTTTTTATATTTTAAAAGCTGTTTATATAATGAACACCAAATAAAATAATGTACAGAAATGTACATGCATTTTCATTGTTTTCCTACATTTAATATGTATATTTGCAAATGGTTAATATATTATATATTGTATACATGGTATGATTGCATATGTACATGATATACATGTAACAGATGTATATGTACAAAATATATATTGGAAGTAACTTACTTCCAAGTATATGCAGTACGTACTGTACTTGAGTTTTTCTTTGCAAATTCTAATTGCTACTTTTTGATGTTATTGTTAATTGATATAACTAATTCCTATTTTTCAGATGAAAATATCTAATGCCATTTCTGAAATTAAAAGAAAGGTTGTCCCAGTCCATGATGAAATACAACTGCTTCAGGACATGATGGAACAAATCAAGGTAAAATGATATACAATGCAGACAGATACATAATATCAGGAAATTTCTGCGCATGTCTAATTTTGAACATTTTTGCAGAAATAATTTAACAGCCAAATTTACCCTATAGATGCAAACTTTAATCTGTTCTGTAAAATGGATTGTACAAGGTCAAGAAATGCAAATAATGAACAAAGCGAAGATTTAATTGTCCAATATAAGACCTAAACAGATGCGTAAATAAGGATGATATCCAGCACTTTCTCTAGATATGTTATGTGAGTAGGGGCCTTGGTGGCCGAATGATCTAAGTAGTTCAACAACTCTATCACTAGTCTGTCTACACTGAGGTTGTTAGTTGGAACCTCGCACATGGCAGGTGTGTTTGACCCCAATCTTGAGTGACATTGATTATCAGTTTTCCTGTTGAAGGTCAGTGGTTCTCTCTGGGCAGTCAGGTTTCATTCAACAATAAAAACAGCCACCACTGACCACGAAATAGCCAATAGTGCTGAAAGAGGAGTTAAACACCAAAAATCAATCAATCAATCAATTGTATAATGTGAGGAAATTCCTTGCTGACTTTTAATCTCTGTAACCTTATTTTGCTCTCTCTCTCTCTTTAAATTTTTTTTAGACCAATATGTTTTTAATACATGTTATCTGGAGTCTGTAATCAGTTATCATTGTTAAGGGCATTGCTCACTGAAAACAGTTAATGTATTTTTAAATACATTTTAGCTGATTTCAGTTAGTTTTAGTTTATAGAGGCTAACATGTTTTTTTTTAAATAACTAATTTAGGTTATATAAATTGACAAATATTCTTAAATGACTTATTTTTTATTTAAATTTTCTCTGTTACAAAGTTTCTCATCAATATCATGTCAATAAACTAAAAATATTTCATTCGAACTTTCCACTCTTTGAATTACCAACACATTTCTATGTGCATTGTAAGTTACGAAGAAAATTTGTGTTATCTTTCAACAGTTCAGACACATTTATCATGCTTAATTAATTATTGCATCATTTTCTTGGAGAACTTCAAAATATCCATACAGATGTCTATAGATCATGTAGATCAGATACTCATTACAAGAAATTAGCATTAAATAGCTGATGAAAAGTGTCAATGAATAAAACTAAACCTGTTTTTTTTTTTAAAGATTTCCTGCAGTTATATCCCCTGAGACATGTGAGAGGTGATTGCTTTTGGTTACTTTTTATGAAAACTTTTCCCAGTAATTTGAAAAGACAAAGTACCATTTGAAGTAATTTTGCTTAAATATTTGTTTTCAGTCAAGGTAAACAGGGTTGGCAAACCTGGGTTTTATAAGTTTTGACCAACCCAGTGGTTTTACTGGGTTAAATAGGCATGATCATGATGATAGGGTAATACTAATACTGGGCAATATGAAATACTGGCCTGGCCCTTGTTTCACAAAAAAAAATTTGAATTATACAATTGATTGTAAGTCATGAAAAATTACGTATACTTATTTTACGATTAATTGTAGTCGTAAGATATTTTGTGAAACGCAGGCCTGAATCTTAAATATTCCAAGAATTATAGATTATCAATAGTTTTTCAAACGAGAGGGTGTTCCTCAGCTACAATCTCACTGAAGGGCAACAGCCCTGAGATGAAATATGACCAAGAAACATCCTAGAGTTGAAAAGACTACTGTGATCTGTTAATTGCTATTTTGCCTTTGACATCATTGATGTTTACATTGACAACGGCACATGCCCCTTGTTTTTGACTATAATTTTCTATCTTAAGCGAGTAGCATGATATGAAATATGATCACAAATAAAGATTATAGGATAAACACACAAAATACCGATAAGCAGAAATTAGAGGATTCAATGATCAATTACAAAATACTATTGCAATACATATGATACATTATTACTTTGATACTAGCTATAAAAGAATTCTAAGTAATGTTAATATTTTGATTTAAAATATAAAAAAGAAGATGTGGTATGATTACCAATGAGACAACTCTCCACAAGAGACCAAATGACACAAAAATTAACAACTATAGGTCACCGTACGGCCTTCAACAATGAGCAAAGCCCATACCGCACAGTCAGCTATAAAAGGCCCCGAAATGACAATGTGAAACAATTCAAACGAAAAAACTAATGGTCTAATTTATGTACAAAAAATGAACGAAAAACAAATATGTAACACATAAATTAAACAAAAGACAACCACTGAATTACAGGCTCCTGACTTGGGACAGGCACATACATACAGAATGTGGCGGGGTTAAACATGTTAGCGGGATCCCAACCCTCCCCCTAACCTGGGACAGTGGTGTAACAGTACAACATAAGAACGAACTATAAAAATCAGTTGAAAGAGCTTAACTCATCAGATGGAAAAAATACAAATAATACAAATACAAGTGGACGTGGCCGGGTACTTGTACATCCAAACAACAAAAAGACACTAAGTACAGATCTGAGAGTACTCGCAGTTACTGACAGCTAGTTCAAAGCCACTAACAACTAATAAAAAAAATCATGCATCGAAGACTAAATTATCAATCCGTACACATCCAACATCCAATGGATTTAGTGTAAAGAAGTCATACACAGTCAGAGAAAAACATGACCTTGTGCAATGCCAAGATACAGGTATCGACAGATTGTAGATCCATGAATGTGTATATGTATATATCAGTAATATTTAGTTTGCTTTTAATTTACTGATAACAAAATCAATATTAGTATCAATAAAAACAATATTTAATGATATAATTACAATGTTGAATTGGTAACCTTTTAGAATAAGTTTATTTAAAGGATCGATAAGTTTACCAGGATCGTTTCTAAAATTTCCGGGCACAGTAAACAATATTACCGTAAAAATGAGGATGTGCAATCCTGTTTGAAATAAGTTTTCTACAGGTCAACCAAACTTCTAAACCAAATCTTTATATCTGTGGATGAATTTAGTAAAGGTTTTAAGTAATTTGTAGTAACGAAATCCCTGGCTTAATAATTTACCAGTAATACATAGATTATAAAATTGAGAATGGAAATGGGGAATGTGTCAAAGAGACAACAACCCGACCATAGAACAGACAACAGCAGAAGGTCACCAACAGGTCTTCAATGCAGTGAGAAATTCCCACACCCGGAGGCGTCCTTCAGCTGGCGTTAATTTAATGGCCAAATCTGTTGTGTTTGGTCAAACTGTTAGTATTATGACATGAATCTTAACAATATAAAAATAAGGAAGATGTGGTATGATTACCAATGAGACAACTATCCACCAAAGTTCCGATTAAGTGGATGTAGCCAATTATAGGCAACCGTACAGCCTTTTTTTTCAACAATGAGAAAAACCCATACCATATAGCATGTATAGTCGGCTATGAAAGGCCCTGACATGAAATATGAAACAATTCAATTGAGAAAACTAACGGCCTAATTTATAACAAAACAATTTACAAAAAACAAATATGACAGTCATGAACCAACGACAACCTCTGAACTACAGGCTCCTGACTTGGGACAGGCACATAAATAATGCAGCAGGGCTAAACATGTTTGTGAGAGCTCAACCCTCCCCTTACCTGGGACAGTGCTATAACAGCACAACATAAGAACAAACTATAAAATTCAGTTGAAAAAGGCTTAACTCATCAGATCGATACAAAGCAGAAAAACATCAAACAAAAACACAGATCGGAAGTGGCAGGGTATTTATCCATCCCTCATCCTAACAACTAAAAAGACACTTAAGTACAGATCTGAGAGCACTCCCAGTTACTGACAGCTAGTTCAAAGCCAATAACAACTAATAAAAAACTTCCATGACTTGGCATGAGTAAAGTTTTATCCTGTCCAATACTACAGACAAAATTTCACATAACATTTCATTACATATGAGATAATAACCATCACTGGAAGTTAACCAATCAAATTTTCACCTTTTTTCCCCCTTTTTTTCAAGCTTTAGTAACCATGTAACCTCAAGTTTCCAAAATATTTTATAGAAACACCAAATAAAAAAAAGAAGTGTTTTGAAACACCCAAGTTATATGTTTATGACACAGAAATGCTTTACTGCAATGAAATGTTGGATTAATTTCCTACAACTGTCAATTTCAAGGGAATATTTTGTTTCGACCTTTTTATACGACGGCAAAAAAAATTTTGTGGTCGTATATTGGTATGACGTTGGCGTCGTCGTCGTCCGAAGACACATCGGTTTTCGCACTCTAACTTTAGTTTAAGTGAATGGATCTCTATGAAATTTTACCACAAGGTTCAATACCACAAAAGGAAGGTTGGGATTGATTTTGGGGGTTATGGTACCAACAGTAAAGGAATTAGGGGCCAAAAAGGGGCCAAAAATAAGCATTTTTGTAACTTCCAGACATAACTTGTGTGTTAGTGTATGGATCTCTCTGACATTGTACCACAAGGTTCCATATCACAAAAGGAATGCTGGGATTGATTTTGGGGGTAATTGCCTCAAAATTTTAGGAATAAGGGGCCAAAAAAGGGGCAAAAAACAAGCATTTTTCTAGTTTCATGACAATAACTTGTGTGTAAGTGTATGGATCTTTCTGAAATTGTACTACAGGGTTCCATATCATAAAGGGAAAGCTGGAATTGAATTTGGGGGTAATTGCCGAAACGTTTAGGAATTGGGGGCCAAAAAGGGGCCAAAAATAAGCATTTTTCTAGTTTCCAGACAATAACTTGTGTTCAAGTGTATGGATCTCTCTGAAATTGTACTGCAAGGTACCATACCACAAAGGGAAGGCTGGGATTGATGATGGGGGTAATTACCTCAATATTTTAGGAATTAGGGGCCAAAAAGGGGCAAAAAACAAGCATTTTTCTAGTTTCAGGACAATAACTTGTGTGTAAGTGTATGGATCTTTCTGAAATTGTACTACAAGGTTCCATATCACAAAGGGAAAGCTGGGTTTGAGTTTGGGGGTAATTGCCCTAAACGTTTAGGAATTTGGGGCCAAAAAGGGGCCAAAAAACACATTTTTCTAGTTTCCAGACAATAACTTGTGTTCAAGTGTATGGATCTCTCTGAAATTGTACTGCAAGGTACCATACCACAAAGGGAAGGTGAGGATTAAGTTTGGGGGTGATGAATCATAAGGGGGTTCAAAAAATTGGGGGGGGGATTTTTTTTTTTCCTTTTTTTTTTTCTTTTAAAATTTTCCATTTTAAGTTGGTTATTTCTGATTTATATTTAAAAGCAAATAATAATGATATGGTAGGAGATACACACCAAACAGGATGTGTAAATTATTATATAATAAGTATTGTGCAATAGCAAGAAATTTTCAATTGCACAGTATTGCACAATAGCAAGAAATCTTCAATTGCACAGTATTGCGCAATAGCAAGAAATCTTCAAATGCACAGTATTGCGCAATAGCAAGAAATATCCAATAGCACAATATTGCGCAATAGCAAGAAATTGTCAATTGTACAGTATTGCGCAATAGCAAGAAATATTTAATTGCACAGTATTGTGCAAAAGAAGATACTTCGTATAAATTGCTTATTTCTTGACCAATTTTAATGGGGTTTTATTCTTGAATTCTTGGGGTTCTTTAATATGCTGAATCTAACCGTGTATTTAGATTTTGGATTTTGGGCCCCGTTTTTAAATTGGTCCACATTGAGGTCCAAAGGGTCCAAAATTAAACTTTGTTTGATTTTATCAAAAATTGAATTATTTGGGTTCTTTGATATGCCGAATCTAACTGTGTATTTAGATTCTTAATTTTTGGTTCCGTTTTCAAATTGGTCTACATTAAGGTCCAAAGGGTCCAAAATAAAACTTAGTTTGATTTTAACAAAAATTGAATTCTTAGGGTTCTTTGATATGCTGAATCTAAACACGTATTTAGATTTTTGATTATGGGCCCAGTTTTCAAGTTGGTCCAAATCGGGGTCCAAAATTAAACTTTGTTTGATTTCAACAAAAATTGAATATATGGGGTTCTTTGATATGCTGAATCTAACCATGTATTTAGATTTTTGATTTTTGGGCCCCGTTATCAACTTTGTCCACATTGAGGTCAAAAGGGTCCAAAATTAAACTTTGTTTGATTTCATCAAAAATTGAATTCTTGGGGTTCTTTGATATGCTGAATCTAACCATTTATTTAGATTTTGGATATTAGACCATAATAGGTGAATGTCCAATTTAAAATTTTTAAGTTCTTAGACCACATTCATTCTGTGTCAGAAACCTATGCTGTGTCAAATATTTAATCACAATCCAAATGCAAAGCTGTATCAAGCTTGAATGTGTCCATACTTGCCCCAACTGTTCAGGGTTCAACCTCTGCGGTCGTATCAAGCTGCGCCCTGCGGAGCATTTTATTTCATGTAAAACCTGATGTGATGTACCAGATTTGGTGGTATTACACCTAAAGAAGACTTTTCAGTTGAATAAACTGAATGTGATTGTTTTTCCTTTGTAATACTGGTTGTTTCAAGCATTACTGTCAAGTTTTGTCATAATCAGTTCAATAGTTTGAGAGAAATTTAGTATAATGTAAGATGACATCTACAGCAATTTGAGCAAATTTCTACAAAAAATCCAAATCCCGCTGCACTATGATCAGATGACAGAATATAGAGTGGACTAATAAATGATCACATATTCATCTCATCTGCATACAAACAGTTGAATATGATATAAAAGATGACTCTTAAGATGATAAATACCACTAATGGACCTCTTTGTCTTCATTATAGGGTCCCTTTTGGTCCATTTATATCTCTCACATTCTCAAAATTTTGGGATAACTGTCACACATTATGTAAGAAATATGATAATAAATGAGTAATTGAAGTGTTCAAGCTGAATGAACTATCTATATAAAAGTTTAATGACTCCATGGAGGTTTCAATAAGTCCTTACGTAAAACTTATGTTTATGCCGCGCTCCAGAGAGGGGCAAAAAATGCTTCCCTTTTAGTGAAAAATTTGTGTTACTGCTTCTAAAATAATTTCATTTACTTATAACTGTATATTTCTTAAAGTATTACTTAGGAAAAGGTTTTCTTTTATAGCAAAATATAGGAAATAAGGAGAAAAAGTAAGAAAAATCTCCCCAAAACACAGAGTATGGCTTACTCTGCCTACTAATATTCATAGTAAGTAGAGCCCTACATTTCAAGGCAAATTTCTCTTTAAATGTATTTTCGAGACTCAATCCACTCAGAATATTTCATTTTTGCAATATTTTACTGAACTAACATGAAATTTTAACAAATGAGAGTACATACAAGGTCAAAGGTGCATATGCAGCTTCCTTAAATAGGAGTAATTCCACAATTGTTTTACCCTATTAGTCTTTGTTAAATTGGCACTTTTCAATAATTGTGCAGAATTTATCTTTGTTTCAAATAATGAAATACTTGGATGAGTAAAGTTTTATCCTGTCCAGTACTACAGACAAAATTTCACATAACATTTCATTGCATAAAAGATATTAACCATCATTGGAAGTTAACCAATCAAATGTTTACCCTTTTTTTTCTTGTTTACAAGCTTTAGTAACCATGTCACCTCAAGTTTCCAAAATATTTTATATATAGAAACACCAAATAAAAAAAGAATGGTGTTTTGAAACACCCATTGAAGATATATGTTTATGACTGCAATGAAATGTATGATTAATTTCCTACAACTGTCAAATTCAAGGGAATATTTTTTTCTACCTTTTTCGTATGATCATGATGATACCGGATGTGACATACTATGATTTGGTGGTATTACACCTATATTTATGTAACTGATATTAACAGCAAAAATGAATAATTTGCATGATTTTTAATTAAAATCTATAAACTAATTTTGTTTTCATTACTGAAAAGTGTACAAATTAATTAGTACATTTACATGTACATCAATATTTGAAATAAGTAAATATTCAAATTATAAGATGTCAAGTAGATTTGTTTAGCTTACTGTAATTAGCCTTTTCGTTGCCTTCAGGTGGGAGTGACTTGTCTCCTTAGGGCATTTATTTAGAAATATGTTTTGTATACCAATTAAATTTTACAATTTATTAATACATTACAATAAGGATAATACACAACACTAAAATTCATGTAATGCTTTGTGTTTACAGACTGTTAACCATAAATACATGTAACATACTATGTCATCATGCTATGAACTATATGCATGATATGATGTCCTTTGGGTGCAAGAGATCCATCATTGTCACTTTCTTATAAATCTTTCTCAGCTGTAACATCTCTGAGGCAACCATTCTTCTTTCAGCAGGAATTTCCCATATTGTACTAAAATAGTCCACAACCAGATGCTTTGTTGCTTTAGGGAGCTACCATTTGATTTTTATGGGGGGGCTAGGATGAAATTTGAAAAAAAGACAGGACAGGAGTTTTGAGTAAAAATAGAAGGCAGGATGAGCAACTTGGCAAAAAAAAAAAGGCAGAATGACAATTTATGTAAAAAAAGTCAGGATAAACTAATAAAAAAAAAGGCAGGACCGAATAGAGTGAAAAATAAAAAGGCAGGACAGAGATTACAACTAAAAAAAAATGCAGGACAAAATTTTTCATCCTAGCCCCACCATAAAAATCAAATGGTAGCTGCCTTTTGTTTATCCTCCTTTTTCTATTTCAAAATATCATGTTTTTAAAGGTCAGATAAAAGAGTTTTTTTTCTCTTTGGTCATTTGTCGGTAAAGAAATTTTGATGACTTATAATTACTTTATTTTTAACAATCTTTTTTCAAGATCATTTGGAAATGTCAGAACATTGTAAATTCGGAAATTATTGCTTGCATTCATTTTTGTGATTTTTTAAGAATGGACAAAAATGTGAGATTAATTATTATGATTTCAGGAAAATCTACATATATATAGATATTTGAATCAAATTCAGAATGCAAATTATTATTATTTTGATACTCACACAGTCGCATTATTTGCATCTATAAAAACCTCACAGTAATTTCTGAATTTACAGTAACTTTTTTTCATTTAAAGTTTTTATTTACCATGTTTTCAGGCCAATGAAGAAAGTATTAAAAGTCAACTTGAAGGTCAGATTTCTGGACTAATCCAGTCATTAAAAGGTCAACATCAAGAATTATTACGTCAACTCCAGAATGATATAAAATCAATTAAAAGACCAATAGATGAACAGTTAAGAAAACATAAACAGCTCAGTAAAACTGTGGAAGATCATCTGAAACGACTGAACGGTATAAAAACAGCAAAAGATACTGGACTTAGAATTAAGGTACATAGTAACATGTATGTACAAAAAAACATATACCCGGTATATGTACTAATAGTGTAATATAACCATGATAACATGTATTTCAAACATATAAACACATTATAATTGAATGTGAGGTCAGTTAAGAACAGACAAAGGAAGCAATTATAAAACAAACATTGATTGATTGATAAATTATAATTTACTGAATATCCAGTGGCAAGTATTACATGCATATTCAGATTGGTAAAATGACCAATGCAAGATGAGCAATACAATGGACAAAAAGGAGAGTTCCTCAAAGCATTTCACAAATTACACAACTACAGATTAAGAAATACAAATTCAAATATATTAAATGGATATATATATCATGTATATAGAATAACCATACATTGTCTCCAAATATAAATTTTATTTGTACAAAGCTTAGAAACAGGTAGAAAACGATGTATGGTTATTCTTTACAAACTGCAACTCCTACCATGATAACTGTTTCAAATGAAATATTTAGGGTAAAAACAATCATTTTTTAGCTCACCTCTTTTCTCATCACTTGGCGTCCGTCCAGCGTTGTCCGTCGTCGTCGTTAACTTTTTATACGACCGCAAAAATTAAAAATTTTTTGGTCGTATATTGGTATGACGTTGGCGTCGTCGTCGTCGTCTGGCGTCGTCCGGCGTCATCCGAAGACACATTGGTTTTCGCACTCTAACTTTAGTTTAAGTGAATGGATCTCCATGAAATTTTACCATAAGGTTCAATACCACGAAAGGAAGGTTGGGATTGATTTTGGGGGTTATGGTACCAACAGTTAAGGAATTAGGGGCCAAAAAGGGGCCAAAAATAAGTATTTTTGTCGAGCCTGCGACTTTTGTCGCAGAAAGCTCGACATAGGGATAGCGATCCGGCGGCGGCGGCGGCGGCAGCGGCGTTAGCTAACTTCTTAAAAGCTTTATATTTTAGAAGATGGAAGACCTGGATGCTTCATACTTTGTATATGGATGCCTCATGTTACGAAGTTTCCGTCAGTCACATGTCCAATGTCCTTGACCTCATTTTCATGGTTCAGTGACTACTTGAAAAAAAAGTTCAGATTTTTTGTAATGTTAAATTCTCTCTTATTACCGTATTTTCCGGATTAAAAAGCGCACCCCTAAATAAGGCGCACGGCCGTTTTTGGGGGTGAGGATTGTTTTTTTCCTTACATAAAACGCACCTGCATATAAAGCGCACCCTGAAGAAAACGTACATGCATTCTACTGACCTTAGCGTAATGAATGTTCACTCCTTCTTGTAACTCACTCCGTAACATGTTTCATTTTTATTTTCAGATTGTTGAGAAAGTTGAAAGACATATTGTATATATTTATTTGTTTCATATTAAAATAAATAAATGTTAATAAAATTATTATAATTTTCTTATTGTTTTAATCATGCCAGATTCATTAGTTGTTTTTTGTCAACAATGGCCATGTGTTGACAGCTTGGGTGTCCATTGAACCTTGTTGTTTTGATTAAAATTAGTTCGGTGTTGATTGCTCATTTATTGTTTGAATTGGAATCAAGGATTTTAATTAAGTCTCCCAAACGAAGTTTGGGAAGACTTATTGTTTTTGCTCAGTTCTTATTATTATTATTATTCTTCTTCCTCTTCCTCTTCCGCCGCTTTTAAATTTGAACTTGTCCGCACCCGTTCTCCAAAACCGCTTGTCAGATTAACTTAGGGTTTCACAATATGTTAGACTAACATGTCTAGTGGTGCAATCAGTGTTTTGTTTGTGCAATGGGGTTTATAAAGGGGTACTTTGAGGGGCAAAAAGAAAAGAGGGTTTTACTATAGAACCCTATGGGATTTTATTTTTTAAAATTTTCAAATGATTATAAATTGAAAACCGTTTGTGATAGACACAATCTTTTTAATTGAAAATGTTCTAAATGACAAAACCCATTAAATGAAATACAGGGTTAGTCCCCAGGGGTCATCCCCACCCCCTGCCATTTAAGAAAGTTCTAATACCTTGTAAGTGGTCAAGATCCCCACCCCTTAACCATATATATTATGGTTTGTCATGCTAAGATGGTTTGAATGATATACAGGGTTAGTCCCCAGGGGTCATCCTGACCCCCTGCCATTTGAGAAAGTTCTAATATCTTGTAAATGGTCGAGATCCCCACCCCTAAACCATATATATTCTGGTTTGTCATGCTAAGATGGTTTGAATGATATACAGAGTTAGACCCCAGGGGGTCATCCCGACCCCCTGTGGTTTGAGAAAGTTCTAATATCTTGTAAATGGTTGAGATCCCCACCCCTAAACCATATATATTCTGGTTTGTCATGATAAAGCACATGAAATGAAATACAGGGTTAGTCCCCAGGGATCACCCCCACCCCATGCCATTTAAGAAAGTTCTAATATCTTGTAAGTGGTCAAGATCCCCACCCCTAAACCATATATATTCTGGTTTGTCATGCTAAGATGGTTTGAATGATATACAGGGTTAGTCCCCAGGGGTCATCCTGATACCCTGCCATTTGAGAAAGTTCTAATATCTTATAAATGGTCGAGATCCCCACCCCTAAACCATATATATTATGGTTTGTCATGATAAAGCAAATCAAATGAAATACAGGGTTAGTCCCCAGGGGTCACCCCACCCTATGCCATTTAAGAAAGTTATAATATCTTGTAAGTGGTCAAGATCCCCACCCCTAAACCATATATATTCTGGTTTGTCATGCTAAGATGGTTTGAATGATATACAGGGTTAGTCCCCAGGGGTCATCCCGACCCCTGCCATTTGAGAAAGTTCTAATATCTTGTAAATGGTCGAGATCCCCACCCCTAAACCATATATATTCTGGTTTGTCATGATAAAGCACATGAAATGAAATACAGGGTTAGTCCCCAGGGGTCACCCCACCCCATGCCATTAAAGAAAGTTCTAATATCTTGTAAGTGGTCAAGATCCCCACCCCTAAACCATATATATTCTGGTTTGTCATGCTGAGATGGTTTGAATGATATACAGGGTTAGTCCCCAGGGGTCATCCCGACCCCCTGCCATTTGAGAAAGTTCTAATATCTTGTAAATGGTCGAGATCCCCACCCCTAAACCATACATATTCTGGTTTGTCATGCCAAGATGATATGAATGATATACAGGGTTAGTCCTTAGGCATCACTTATGCATATAACTTTACTGGACCAAACCAATTTTCACTGGACTTTGCCCAATGTCAGGCGACCCTGGGAATTACGAATTATGGGAGCTTCGTTTGGGAGACTTCGTAACAGCATCCTGTTACAATCATTTCTTGTTAATCTTGAAAAGGTATTCATTAAAAGTTACCCAAGCCATAAAACTGCCGTTGTTTACCTTGATTATGACCTACTTAATTACCTGTACCCACGTGTGAAAACTGTTCACCCATAAGTCAGGAAAAAAAATTATTAAATTAAATCTAAAGAATTTTATTGTTGTTTATAAAATAAAAGTTTAAGTTTTTTAAGTAACAAACATTTTTCAATTTAAACTTGGTTGAAAACTACAACAAAACCATTCAGTTTCTGCAAGTCATTGTCTATTTTTAACTGAAAGTGAGATGGGCCACGGAAAGGGGAATTCAAATAAGACGGCAATATATAAATGTCTTAGCATATTGAATTATGAAAATTAATATTCATTTTTTTTATTTCTTACACCAATATGTGACTACAATATTTCATAAAGATATTTCATTTTGAAACAATAAAACAATAAGCAGTTACTCCTCAATAGTATATCCTGTATGGTACCTCTTTTCAAACACGCTTATCTTTCTTTGTTTATGAAACACTTTAAAGGGTTCATTTCAGTACATGGTTATCACCATCGTCATTAAAAGAGACTTGAAATATTGGAAAGAAACACAATCACTACCTTTATTATTTCTAAAGAAGATTTTATTTAAAAACACATTACAACAACAAACAATTACATATTTATTGTAAATACACAATTAATATCCTGTATGGTACCTCTTTCAAACACGGTTATCTTTCTTTGTTTATGTAATAAACACATGGTTATCAACTTCGTAAGCCAACAATGAAATAAAGAACAAATGATAAAGTATATATATTTTTATTCATAACAAAATATGCCACATGAACAATTTATCAAGTCACTGCAAGCACTTGACAATCTGACGGTCTCCATAAAAAAAAATCCAGATACATATTTTTTTTTCACGCTTGCCCTGAAACTGAAAAAAATACATACACAAAGCGCACATGAGTATAACACGCAGGGACAATGACAGAGAAAAAAACCTGCGGCTTATTTAACGAATTTAACGGTATAAGTAATAGGATAACTATATTTGGTATATGCGTACCTTGCAAGGTCCTCATGCCCGTCAGACAGTTTTCACTTGACCTCGACCTCATTTCATGGATCAGTGAACAAGGTTAAGTTTTCGTGGTCAAGTCCATATCTCAGATACTATAAGCAATAGGTCTAGTATATTCGGTGTATGGAAGGACTGTAAGGTGTACATGTCCAACTGGCAGGTGTCATCTGACCTTGACCTCATTTTCATGGTTCAGTGGTTATAGTTAAGTTTTTGAGTTTTGGTCTTTCTTTCTAATACTGCATGCAATAGGTCAGCTATATTTGGTGTATGGAATGATTGTAAGGTGTACATGTCTAGATGGCAGGTGTCATCTTACCTTGACCTCATTTTCATGGTTCAGTGGTCAAAGTTAAGTTTTTGAGTTTTGGTCTTTTTTTCTAATACTATATGCAATAGTTCAACTATATTTGGTGTATGGAAATATTTTATGATCTATATGTCAGTCACGCAGGTTTTATTTGACCTTGACCTCATTTTCAAGGTTCATTGCTCAGTGTTAAGTTTTTGTGTTTTCGTCTGTTTTTCTTAAACTATAAGCAATAGGTCAACTATATTTGTTGTATGGAAGAATTGTTAGCTGTACATGCCTGCCTAGCATGGTTCATCTGACCTTGACCTC